AACTCTTATTCATCTTATAAGATTTGATCAAATACATTTTTAATTTATTCTTATTTTCTTATTCCATTAATTATTTAAATACAATTAACATCCACTTAGAATAAATGCATTATTTAAATTCAAATAAATTCTAATAATTAGACTAATAAAACTTTATAGCCATTATAGAAACTCATTTAGCAAAATAATCTCTGAAATAATCATAATAAAAATAAGGATTTATGTATTTATAATGATAATTATAATTTATTTTATTATAATTTGATTATTCAAATTCTATTAATATGAATATGATTTCTAAAATAGCATTAATTAAATCATTATTTAACAATATTAGAGGGACTATCAAAAATGTTAAATTATTAAGGCTAAGTGTAAAATATAATTTTTATTAATGGTTAAAAACTTGGAGAAGGAACAGAAGGTATTGTGTTTAAGGGACAAAATAAGTAAACAAATGAAATTGTGGCTATTAAAGAATACAAAAAATCAATCAATCAAAATGAATTAAAAGCAATTTAAGCAATTTATGCAAAGAATTTCAGCCATATAATTGGGATAAAAGCAGTATAATAAAATTAGAATTCTGTTCCAATAATTATTTTGGAGTTTGCTAATGGAGAATTCTACAAATATATGTAAACATAAGATTATTACAGATTAACATATGATCAAAAAAATTAATATTTTATATAAGTAATAGAACAATATTATTTTATTTAAGATGGTGTAAGGTGTTGATTAACTTCATGATTTGGGATTATTTCATAGAGATTTAAAACCAGAAAACTTTGTATATATTAATTAGCCAAACAATCAAAAAATTATTAAATTGATTGACTTTGGTTTAGTTAAAGAAACTGGAAATTTTATGGCAAAGACCGCTTGCGTTGGAGTACCTTATTATATAGCACCAGAGGTTTTAAATATAAAAGACTGTTTTTATGATAAATCAGTTGATATTTGGTCTTTGGGAGCCATTTGGTATGAAATCTTGACAGGATAAACATTATTTAATGGTAATTTTAATTTATAATCTTAGGTAATAGTTAAGATGAATTATTTAATTAAATCTTAAAAAGTAGCTAATAATAAATTGATTAACTAATTTAAAATAATCAATAGATACAAAAAAAAGAAAAAGAATTAATCAAAAGGATGCTTATAAAAAAACCAACAGATAGAAAATCATTGAAAGAAATAATTGCAGCTTATATTTAATAATAAGTTCAATATTAACCATTTCAAAATTAATAATTTCTAAATTAACAACCTCAAATCCAATAAAATTAGAATTTATACCAAAATTAATAATAATAATAATAGTAATATTAATTATAATTCTAATAATAATAATAAAAGCCATAATTTAATTCAATGAATCCTCAGATATAACCAGTAAATAATATTTAATTTCCTAGTAATTCATCATAAATAAGACCTTAATAACAGATTTATTAAGAAATAAATATACATCCTAATCAAATTTAATAAATATAATTTTAACAAATTGAGAGATAAAATAAAGATTAAGAGGAGAAAGAAAAAAAAAAATAAGAGGAAACAGAAAAGATATAATAAGAATTAAAAAAGAAGATGAAAGAAGAATATGAATAAAAAATGAAAGATTTTGAATCAAAGAAGGTTGAAGAAATGGAGTAAATAAAAAGAGAAATAGAAAAGTAAAAAGAAGAAGAGTTGACTAAGAAAATGTAAAAAATTTAAGAATAACAGAAAAAAGAATTTGAAGAGTAAATAAGAAAAAAAGAAATAGAATTAAAATAATAACAAGATAAAGTTTAATAATAGGAAAAAGATAAAGAATAGTTGGCTTAAATGAAAATTTAGTAAGAAATATAATTTTAAAATGAAATTGATTAATTCAAAAAAAAGTAAGAAGAAGAATAATAACAACAGATTAAACAATATTTATTAAAGGCAAATAATGAAAAAGAAGAAGCAATTAAATAAAATTTAGAAAGTAAGGAAAAAGAGATTAAATAATAAGTAGAAATGGATGTTTAAAAAAAATATCTACTAGAATACTCAAATAAAGTAACTGAATTGGAAAAAAAAAAACATTTAGAAAATTAAAAATAATTAGAAGAAAAAAAATAATCCTTACTAATTCTATTATAATCTTAGCAAAATACAATATAAATGTTTATCTCAAACTTAAAATAAAAATTATAGCTTATAAAGGATTTAGATACATAAGTTTAAATAAAAAATTAATTAATAAATTTCATAGAAAATGAACTTAAAAAATAAGAGGAAAAAGTTAAATAAAATGAACAGAGATAATTAACTATTTAATAAGCTTTTTAATTAGAGTAAATTAACGGATAGGATAATAAAATATCTTTAGAAATTTCATCAGATATATAAGAATAAAATAACGTTAATAATTGCATTACAGAACAATAAATGTTACTTAATAAGTCGGTAAATGATAAAGAAAGGATTGAATAATAGCAAAAAGAACAGTAGAAACAAAAAGAACAATTAAATTAAGAAAAACAAAAAATTTAATTATAATTTAATAACTTAAAATAAAAAAGTGATTCGTTTTAAGGAAATATTTAAAAATTTTAGGACAAAATTAAGTTTTATGAGAAAATTTAATATTAAATATAAGGGTTAGAAAAACTTTAAGAAGTTATCGGTTTATATTAAAAAATTATTTAAGATTTTTAAGTCTTATAATAATAAGAAAATAATATTAATTAATTTGAGTTATCTAAGCAAATTATTACTTATTAATCTTTTAATATTAAAGTTGAGGAAATTTAATAATCATAAAATAGACTTAAAAATTAAATTGATGAGACAAATAAATTTATTGAATTAATTGATAACAAATTTATTGATGAATAACGTATTTAACTAGATGATTTAGCTCATAATTTAAGTGATTACTTAGATAAATTTAAATATCTGTCTAAGAATGAAAAATATAAAAATAAAATTGATTAAATAATTTCTAAAATAAAAAATTGTTTTAATTAGTTAAATTATTGGCATTAATAATAAGCTGAAGAAATATTTAAAAATTATAAATAGTTCATTCAAATGATAGAGTCAATTAATCAAGATTTAAATGAATTTTCAAAATAATACAATTAATTACATGAATAAATCTATCAAGATTAGTAAATTGAATAACAAAATTCTGAAAGAAAAAAAAAATTAACAAATATTGAAGGATAAATAAAAGAATTTATTGATAAAATGAATAAGTTAAAAACTTAGATAAATAATTTAATTAACAATCAATATTGTAACAATGAATATACTAGAAATTTAATAATGGAAAAATAAAGAAAAATTGATTAAAATATCTATTAAATTCAAGAATAATTTAATAATTTTAAAGGATTTAATTAATTAATATCCTATGAAATTAAAAATCAAATAATATATTTGGAATAATTTTAAGAGAAATTAAAAAAATTACATGATGATGAATTAGAACAAGTTAATTAATTATAATTAGTAATTTAAAATATTGGAGCTGAAAACAAAAGTGGAATAGAAAAAGAATTACTACAATTAACTAATGAATTATAATAAAAATAAATGAAATTTACAAAAGCACTTTAATCAGTCAATATTGATTAAGATAAAATTCAATATATTCAAAAAATTAAGGAAAAAAAAGAAGATTTGTATAATTAATTGATATCGGAAATAGAAACCTTATAGAAATATTACAATATTAATTAACATAATTAGCAGTTATTTAATAAAGAATTATAACCTTTCTTAGCAAAATAAAAATAATACAGCGAATTGGAAAAAATACTAAAAAGATTATAAAATTATAATTAAGAGAAAACCTAATAATTAGAAAGAATACTTAGTAATGTACATAATAAACCATATGAATTTTAATTTTAAAATATGGATAAATTTGATAAATATGTAATTTTAAAATAAAAAGAAGAACAATTATCATTAGAAATAAATAGCATAATTTTATAAGAATAAAATTAACAATAAAAAAAAAAATTAATGATTTAAATTCTTAAATAGACTCATTAATGTAATAAATTCCTGATTATAATTAAATTTAAGAAATCAAAAATGAATATTAAAAAAATGCAGAATAATTTTAAATATTATATGCTTTAGTTAATTATATAATGTAGTATCACTTAACAAGATATTTTGAGAGAATAAAAGAAAATGAAGATAAATCAAAGGATAAATAATAAAATTTTAAAGAAGGCAGTTATATAAAGGCCTTTCATGATAAATAAAATGAATAAACGAAAGAGAGCACTAAAAAAGAGAAGGAAGCTTAAGATTTATTAAAGATCTACGAAAATATTCTCTTTAATAATTACACTAAGAAGATGATTGTAGAAATGGAAAGAGACTATTAAACAATCAAGAAGGAAATTGAAACTTAAGAAAATTTTATAAAATAAAAAAATTTAGTTAAACTAAGAGCTTCAATTAAAGACTAGAAACCTATCAAAGAAATTATAAACAATAAATAATATTATAAAATAAATGAATGGGCATAAATGTTAGAACTTTAGATTTTATCGAGAAATAAATGATAAATAAGTATTTATTCCATAAAAATATAAATTATTCTGTTGTGAGATATTTCATATTAAAGATAATTACTTAAGTCACATTTCTTGTATGTTAAGTTATTACAATAAATTGAAGTTAGGGAAAGTGTCCCATAATAATAAATAATTTTAAAGTATTTATTTATATTTGAAATTATTTGTCAATTAAATAATTCTAATTTAATCTGAATGATTTGATAATGCGATGAGAATTGTTCTAAATAAATTAGATATAAAGATTTTGAGTTAAGACGGAAGGAGTAGTAATCATTATTATTTCATTCTGAAACACTCATATATTTTTAATTTAATATTGGATTACGAATGATATATATTAATTAAAAATTCATTTAAAAATGTTTAGTGATGAAGTTTAAAAGTATAGAGAAATGGAAGAGATTTTTTTAAAAGAATTTCAATAAAGAAATGGATCATATTTTCTTATTTCCTTAAAGTTGAGTATTCATTATATAATAAAGATGGTTAAATAGTTGGAAGAAAGTTGGATACGAGGGTGATGCAAATAACTCAATAACTTTGGGAAATATAAACAGTGATATAGGATATAAACCTAAACAAGTATTAAAGTATGAACCCATTGAACTTCATCCATGGAATACTCAATTAAAACCTAATTTAATTGAAGGTATAGATTATTAAATTGTTGACTCTAACATGTGGTAATATCTGAAAGGGTAATTATAAATATGTGAATATAGAATAAATAAATAAAAAGTCGATTTTACAATAGAGAGAGAATCATTTCTAAACAATGAGGGTTAAAGATAAGTATAAGCATATTTATAATGCATTAAATTTGTTCCCATATTCCCTTCCGCTATGATGAAACTTCAAACTTCTATGATAGAAGGTGAATAATACATATCACCTATTGCGTAAACAAGTGAAGTTGTTACTATTTTAAGTAAAACATTAAAAACTGTGTAAGAATAAATTATAAAAACTTAGTACTTCATTTAAATTTGTTACTAAAGACAATATAAGATTGTATAAATTGGGAAGCAATTGGAGTCTAGAAAATCTAAAAACATTTTTATTGCAATAACATAAAGAAAAAAAATAATTAATTGAATTTACAGACATAGAATTTTTAAATCCTATTGACACTAAGTTATTCAAAGATTATAATTTTTAAAAAGATTAAATTTTATTAATGGATGCTAAAGAATCAGAAAAGACCTTTCTAATTTAAAACAACCTCTTTTAATTAGAAGAAAAATGCACCAATTGTTCATAATATTAAAATTTGAATTTTAATTGTGTGTGCAAAAAAGTTAAATACTGCAGTGAAGCATGTTTATAGTAACATTCGTATCATCATACATAAATATGTGAAAAATAAAATGATACAGATGAAATACTTGTTTAATTATTACCTAACACTTTATCTAAACTAGGTTTAACAGGATTAAGGAATTTAGGAAATACTTGTTATATGAATAGTGCTTTATAATGTTTATCAAATACTCTTGAGATATCAAGGTACTTTTTAGATAACTCATTCAAATTTGATCTAAATACTTAAAATGCATTAGGAACAAAGGGTGAATTTGCATCATTATTTTCATATCTTTTAAAAAGGCTTTGGTTTGATAAATAATCTTCAATATCACCATTTTAATTTAAAAGGTTGGTTGGTAAATTGTCTCCAAATTTTGCAGGCAATGCACAACATGATGCTTAAGAATTCATAACCCTTACACTTGATTTACTTAATGAAGATTTAAATAGAGTCAAAGTTAAACCTTATGTAGAAATTCCTGATAATAACAATAGGCCTGATGATGTTGTAAGTTAAGAATAATGGGATTGTTTTAAAAAAAGAAATGATTCATTAATTGTTGATGAATTGTATGGCTAATATAGATCAAAATTACAATGTCCAAATTGTAATAAAATATCCATTACATTTGATCCTTTTTTAATGGTCAATGTAACAATTCCTTAAGAATAAAAGAAGCTATTGGAATTTTATGTTATTGATCCTGAAAACTTTTGGTTAAGTAAACCAGTTACTCATTATTATGAACCAGAACTGAGACTAAAAGAAGTCCTGTAATTTAAATCTTAAGAATGGCTTAATTGTGAATGGGATCAAATCATATTAACATTAAGTTCTACTTTTTCAATTGAAGAAGGTAGTAAATTTTTAATAATTTAGTTTTTTTGGATTAAAGATTAGAATTACTCAAAAAGTAATTAAAAAATGATAAAAAATTATAATTAAGAAGATTGACAGTCTAAGAATAAATAATTTAAAATGAATCTTAAGTTCATATTCTCATTCACAATTAAATCTAAACAATAAGCAATTGGAAAAAAGATATCATTCCCACTATGTACTTTATCTTATCTCAACATTATACATATAAAGAAATTCATATGTTTTTCTTTGATTGTTTTAAAAATGTTCTTAAAAACTTTTTAGATTTTGATTAGAATTGGCTTAATTCAGAAAATCTATAAGAAGTTTATTAATAACATATTTTGGATAAGTATTGGAAGATAATGTTTAAATCAAATCAAAGGTATTAAGTGAATTGTTCTTATTGTTACAAAGCATATTGTAATGATTGTCCACTAGAATTTATTGATAAAATATTTGGTGATTGTTTTGAGAGGGAAGATAAATTATTACAACCAGAAATCTAAATCGTATGGCTTAAACCATGCAGAGAAAAAATTGAAGATGTTTATACAGAATACTAAAAGATATTCGATCCTAATTATGAACCTCCAGTTGTTAATTTGAATTGGGATAACAATCAAAAAAGCAATAAATATCAATAAACCTATACTTTGGAACATTGTTTAGAATATTCAACTAAGCCAGAATAACTTTAAGTAGATAATACTTGGTATTGTAGTGGATGTAAAGATCATGTCCAAGCTTACAAAACATTATAAATCTATAAAACTTCAAATATTCTGATTTTTCATCTTAAGAGATTTAAAGATTCATACAAATTATTTAAATCAAAATTACAAACTAATATTTTGTATCCTGAATAGTTAGATATGAGCAATTTCATGTTGAATAAAGGTATAATATATTAATAAATTAATAGAAAATAATAATTTATATGAATTATATGCAATTTGCAATCACATTGGAGAATCTGGAAGTGGACATTACACTGCATTTTGCAAAAACAATGGTGAATGGTACAAATTTGATGATTCGATTGTCATCAAAGAGACAAATAGCATTGTCACTCCTAATGCTTATGTTTTATTTTATAGAAGAATCCATCATTAAAATGTTGAATATGATTTAGAAGCTAAATTAAAATAGAATATAGATTTATTATTAGCGGATGAAGTATTTTAGCAAAATCTGTAAAAATTATAACAAGAAAATGATGAGAGTATAGATCCTTAAAAATTACATTAATCTTCTATTAATACATAATAAGAATAAAATAAACAACCCCTGACTAAATTAGATATAAACTTAGTCAATAATTAATCTAGTAGCGATACAAACAATGGGAATGATGATGAAAATGACGACGAACATTGATCTTCAAATTCTGTATGATAATATATAATTTATTATATATATATGATTTAATAGAATTTGAATTATGTTTTAATTTCATTGTGATTTCTAAAAAAGCATTAATTAAATCATTATTTAACAATATTAGAGGAAAATATCTAAGATGATAAATAATCAAGGTTAAGTGTAGAATCTAATACTTATTAATGGTGTCTAATATTAAAAATTAGAAAAACTTGGAGAAGGAACAGAAGGTATTGTGTTTAAGGGACAAAATAAGTAAACAAATGAAATTGTGGCTATTAAAGAATACAAATCAATCAATCAAAATGAATTAAAAGCAATTTAAGCAATTTATGCAAAGAATTTGAGCCATATAATTGGGATAAAAGCAGTATTATAATAAAATTAGAATTCTGTTCCAATAATTATTTTGGAGTTTGCTAATGGAGAATTCTACAAATATATGTAAACATAAGATTATTACAGATTAACCTATGATCAAAAAAATTAATATTTTATATAAGTAATAGAACAATATTATTTTATTTAAGATGGTGTAAGGTGTTGATTAACTTCATGATTTGGGATTATTTCATAGAGATTTAAAACCAGAAAACTTTGTATATATTAATTAGCCAAACAATCAAAAAATTATTAAATTGATTGACTTTGGTTTAGTTAAAGAAACTGGAAATTTTATGGCAAAGACCGCTTGCGTTGGAACACCTTATTATATAGCACCAGAGGTCTTAAAATATTTTTAAAATTAATGTTATTATGACAAATCAGTTGATATTTGGTCTTTGGGAGCCATTTGGTATGAAATGTTGACAGGATAAACATTATTTAATGGTAATTTTAATTTATAATCTTAGGTAATAATTAAGATGAAATATTTAATTAAATCTTAAATAGTAGCTAAAAATAAATTGATTAACTAATTTAAAATAATCAATAGATACTAAATAAAGAAAAAGAATTAATCAAAAAGATGCTTAGAAAAACACCAATAGAAAGAAAATCATTGAAAGAAATAATTGCAGCTTATATTTAATAATAAGTTCAATCTTAACCATTTCAAAATTAATAATTTCTAAATTAACAACCTCAAATCCAATAAAATTAGAATTTATACCAAAATTAATAATAATAATAATAATAATAATAATAGTAATATTAATTCTAATAATTATAATTCTAATAGTAATAATAATAATAAAAGCCATAATTTAATTCAATGAATCCTCAGATATAACAAGCAAATAATATTTAATAACCTAGTTTTACATCATAAATAAGACCTTAATAATAAATTTAATAACAAATAAAACAGCAAATGGAAGTAGAAATAAAATAAGAAATGGAGGAAGAATTAAAATAAAAAAGAGAAGAAATAGAAAAGTAAAAAGAGAAAGAGTTGGCTGCAAAATTAGAAATAGCTAAATAATAATTTCAATTAGATTTTGAAAAGGAAATAAGATTAAAAGAAAATGAATTAAAATAGCAACAAGAAAAGGCTCAATAATAGGAATAAAGAAAAGATGAGTTAACTTAAATTATATTTTAATAAGAAATATAGTTTTAAAATGAAATGAATAATTTCAAAAAACAGAAAGAAGAAGAATATTAGAAAAATATTGAATAGATTTAAAAGGAGGCTAAAAAGGATATGTAAAAAGAAATTGATCAATAATTATAAGATTATAAAAAATAGATTAAAGAATAATTAGAAATAGAAATGGAGGGAAAATATAAATAAGATTTAATAAATAAAGAAAATGAATTAAAATAAAAACAAGAATAAGAAAATAAAAAATTATTAGAAGAAAAAAAATAATCCTTGATTATTCTATTGTAATCTTAGTCAAATACTATCTAAATGTTTATATCAAATCTAAATTAAAAATTAGTACTTATAAATGATATAGACACTTAAGTTTAAAATAAAAATGATCTAATCAATTTCATAAGAAATGAACTCTAAAAACAAAATAAAAAACAAAATGAAAATGAAGAAAGTCAACAATAAATTTAAAAAGCTTCTTTATTATAGGAACTTAGTGGATAGGAAAATAAAATATCTTAAGAAATTTCATAAAATATAGAAGAATAAAATAAAGTTATTAATAATATTACAGAATAATAAATGTTACTTGAAAAGTATGTAAGTGAAAAATAAAAGATTGAGAAAAATCAAAAAGAAAGTTAGAAAAAAAAAGAATAAGAAGAACAATTAAACAGAGAGAAAAATAGTTTTTAATTATAATTTACTAAAATACAAGAATATTTTAATTTATTTTAAGGAAATATTTAAAAATTTTAGGAAAAAATTAAGTTTTATGACAAAGTTTCATTTTAAATGTAAGAGGAAGAGAAACTTCAAGAAGTTATAGGATAATATTAAAAAATATTTTAGGAATTCTTAGTCTTATAATCATAAGCTAAAAATATTAATTAATTTGAGTTATCTTAGCAAATTATTAATTATTAAACCTTTAATATTAAGGTTGAAGAAATTTAATAATCATAAAATAGACTTAAAAATTAAATTGATGAATCAAATAAATCAATTGAATAAACTGATATCAAATTTATTAATGAACACCGTAGGTAATTAGATGTATTAGCCCATAATTTAAATGATAACTTAGATAAATTTAAATATCTGTCTAAGAATGAAAAATATAAAAATAAAATTGATTAAATAATTTCTGAAATAGAAAATTGTTTTAACTAGTTAAATCAATTGAATTAATTATTAACATAAGGAATATTTTAAAATTATCAATAGTTTAATCAAAAAAAAGATTCAATCAATCAAAATTTATATGAATTTTAAAAATAACACAACTAATTGCATGAATAAATTTATAACGATTAATAAATTCAATAACAAAATGTTGAAAGAACAAAAAAGTTAAAAAATATTGAAGGATAATTAAAGGAATTTACTGATAAAATGAATTCACTAAAAACTTAGATAAACAATTTAATTAATAATCAATATTGCAATAATGAATATACTAGAAATTTAATAATGGAAAAATAAAGTAAAATTGATCAAAATATTAATTAAATTTAAAATTAATTTAAAAATTTTAAAGACTTTAATTAACTTACACAGTCAGAAATTAACAATTAAATAAGCTCTTTAGAATAATTTTAGGAGAAATTAAAAAAATAAATAGATGATGAATAAGAACAAGTTATATAATTATAATTTATAATTTAAAAAATAGGAGCAGAAAATAAAAGTGAATAAGAAAAAGAACTTTTACAATAAACTAATAAATTATAACAAAAATAAATGCAACTTTCAAAAGCATTTTCAACAGTCTATATTGAATAAGATTAAATTCAATAATTCAAAATAATATAGGAGAAAAAAGAAGGTTTACTAGAACAATTGAAAGAGGAAATAAAAAAATTAGAGGAATATAACGAAATAAACAATGAAAATTAGAAGTTATTTAATGAAAAATTATAGATATATAAAAAATAATAAACATCACCTAAGTAATAGAGTAAAATTTAAGAATTACTTTTAAAATAACAAAAATGTAATTTTGGAAAAACCTTAAAATTGAAATAAATATTGGGGAAAGTGCGAAATAAGCCCTATGAATTATAATTTGAAGATATCAACAATAATCCTTTTGATTAATTTGATGTTTTAAAAGAAAACGAAAAAAAATTATCCTAAGAAATAAATAGCATAATTTCATAAGAATTAAATTAACAATTAAATCCTTCATATTATGATAAATTAACAAAAAAAATAAATAATTTAATTTCTGAAATAGATACGTTAATTTAATAAATTCCTTAATAAAATTAAATATAACGATTTTAAAATTAATATAAAAAAAATGTAGAATAATTTTAAATATTATATGCTTTAGTTAATTATATAATGTAGTATCACTTAACAAGATATTTTGAGAGAATTAAAGAAAATGAAGATAAATCAAAAGATAAATAATAAAATTTTAAAGAAGGCAGTTATATAAAGGCCTTTCATGATAAATAAAATGAATAAACGAAAGAGAGCACTAAAAAAGAGAAGGAAGCTTAAGATTTATTAAAGATCTACGAAAATATTCTCTTTAATAATTACACTAAGAAGATGATTGTAGAAATGGAAAGAGATTATTAAACAATCAAGAAGGAAATTGAAACTTAAGAAAATTTTATAAAATAAAAAAATTTAGTTAAACTAAGAGCTTCAATTAAAGAGTAGAAACCTATCAAAGAAATTATAAACAATAAATAATATTATAAAATAAATGAATGGGCATAAATGTTAGAACTTTAGATTTTAAATAAAAATTGATAGAATTTAATATAAGTTATAAAATTATCATAAAATATTGAAATTAAGATATTAAATCATTCTTATTGTTCTCCTTGGCCTTATGATTATATTAAATAATCTATATCTCCTTCAGTTCGAAGTTGTCTGTAGTGTTTCATTTATTAAAGATGTTATTTTCTAAAATTCATTATTTAATTCTTACTTTATCGATGAAGGTAAACCATCAATAATCCATGAATGTGTTAATGCTTCTTCTGGAGTCATTCTTTAATTTGGATCCCAAGTTAAACATTTTTTAACAAACTATATTTCTTATTATAATTTGATACATCTTAAAACTATTCTGATGATTTATCAAGTTATTATGATAAAGGTTTAATTTATTGGATTAAATCTAATTCATTGATTGTATAATTTAATTAGAGTTGTTCATCAAAAAATTTTGATTTCCTTGTACAATTTTCTAATAAATATTTATCTGGTTTTCCTATTACTTTAATTTAGAGATAAAGCAACTCTTTTTCAGATTTAGATTAAAACAATGATAATCCTGTAAAGAGTTCAGCTACAATGCAACCAAAACTCCACATATCAATTTAAGTTGAGTATGGGAGTCCAAGTACAATTTCAGGTGCCCTATAAAATCTACTTTGTATATATGTATATAGTTTTTAGTTAGCAAAACAGCTAGATCCAAAATCAATAACTTTAATTCCAGATCGATTAAAATCTTTTAATAATACATTTTCTGGTTTCAAATCACAATGTATTATATTTTATTCTTTCATAAATAATAATGCCTATAAAATTTGAATAGCAAATCTTCTTATCAAATCAAGATCAAAACCAGAAAACTCATTAATAGCTATGAATTCATATAAGTTACAACTTAACAATTCAAAGACAAGACACTTTTCTAATTAAATGATAATTTTTACAATATGTCCTCTAAATTCAAAATAATTGAGCATTTTAATTAAGCAACAAGTTGGATCTGCTTTATTAATTACTTTTAATATTTCAATTTCAATAAGAGCTTGATTATAAAATTTTTCTTTATTTTTAATAATTTTTAAGGCAGTGTTTTATTTATGTTTATGATCATGAACCTTAAAAACATATCCAAAACTTCCATGACCTAATTTTTCTAACATTTCATATCTATAAGCAATTTAATCTTATTTAACAAATTTGTAATCTCCACTAGATATAATAATAATATAATTTACTTGCTATTATCAAATCCATTATTATATTATTAATCTTCATTAGGTTCTTGTTTTAATAATCTTATATTTTTTGGAGGTAGATAATAGATAGTCTCATAATCAATAATTTCCTTTTTTTCGAAATCTGTTAATTAATCAAGATAGTTTTTGAGTACAATGACAGCATTTTGAGGTAATTAAGGTTTTTATAATTATTGTTAAATAGTTTATTAAATTGATTAGGAAAGTTGTTATTTTTTTTCATCAAATAAATTATTTTTATTAGCATTTCTTTAAGATCTTTATTGAATATTACCTTATATTTTTAATTAGAGAGCAATAATTTTTTATCTGGTTGTTTCTAATTGTAACATTCTGTCAGTTGTATTTTGAGTTTTAATTTTATTTGATAGTTTTTATTTATTGTTATCTGTAAAAATGGATCTAACATCTGGACTAGTTTTTAAATTAGTTTTAGGGGATTGAGGAATGTTGGGTTAAGTAACTTAAGTAGCGATTCCTATATTGAATTAAATGGAGTACTTTATGTAATGTCAAAAGGGGATAGTTTATCTTTGACAAGTATATTTTTTAACTAGTAAGTGTAATTCTTTTTGGATGTTCTTCTACTTGAGCCAGGTTGTTTAACTTCATCTTTATACAATTATGATACTAATTTATTAATTATAATATATACAAGCATTTGTAATACTGAATTATTTGGTAGCTTTGGATGTTTAAGAAGGAGATTTAATAGTTTAAAATTCTTATTGTCTTGTAGTAATTGGAAAATACTCTTTAGGATGATGTCTTAGATGTTACTTATTAATGGAGTTCTTATATGGACTTTTAGTGATGAGATCAAAGCTGCTAAATTTTTTGGATTATTCTTGAGAATGATGTGTTATAGTTGTTTTTTGATTCTAATTGAGAAGTTAGCCAATATTTAGAAGACTTAATTTTTTCATTTTGATTCTCGTTATTAATTAAAAATATAAATTGAATAATGGTGATTAATAAGAGTGATAGAAGCACAGTTGATGACACAATGAGAAGAATGATAAATATTTAGTAATATAGAGTTTGAATAGTTGATAATAGGGAGTAAATAAAGAATGAAGAAAATAATATAGAATAAGTTGATCTTTAAAGAAATTTACTATGAAATAGAAGTAATATAAGTTTTAATAAATATTTGTATTTATTATTTATTTGGATACCTCAATATAAATTTTGTTTTAATATAATTAAAATATATATATATACTGAATGCTAATAATTTAATGAAAGAAGGAAATTACTTATATGAAACACCTATAATTTTGAGATGAAATTAACAAAAAAGATGGAATTCTAAAAAAGAGAGTGTAAGTAATGATAGAGATTATTTTAAATGAGGATATAGGTTTTAGTGAAGAATTATGGAGAATGTGTAAAAATTTTTATTATAAAAAAAGCATAAAATTGAGTATGACTATCAATATTTAGTATAATAAATAATTGTTTAGAATTTTACTGAGGTTAAAATGGAAAGAGTATAAAGAAGAAGGGAGACTAATTTGAAGAAGTAATAGACTAGATTTTTAGAGATACTATATGGGTATAGTGTATTAGTGAGTGTTAGATAATTTAATGATTAATAAAATTTTTGTCAGATTTAATTGTATAAATATATCGATAAGGTTTCTATAAGAAGAATGAATTTCAAATTAAGGGGGTTAAGTAATATTGACTTTATTAATGAAAAAATCTTGTTTGTTTCGCACTATATATTCTCGATTAAATGATTCAAGTTAACTAAATTTTAAACAAAAATAAAGCATGCAATCCAATCCCTTTTCATACAGTACTTACCCTTACTAATTTCAATCAAGTATAACAATTAAAAGTATTAGACAGATTTCCTTATGAATCCATAAGTGTATTATTCTAACTACAACCCTTACTATTCTTAAGTCTAAACCTATATGGTAATAACTTAATGCTATTAATGTTTAGGCACCTTAACCATATCTATAGAATGAATCTTATCATTTGAATTACTATTAGCAATCAAATTGTATCAATTATAATACCGAACAAACAGAGATGAAATAGCCAAAAATTATAATCTCTCCTTATATCAAATAAGAAGACAATCTTATTAAATAAACTGATATTCATACTTAAAATCTATGTGAGAAAAAGAATGAAGACGATAGTTCTGATAAACTCTTGTAGAAAGTAGAGACAGTGAGACAGGTTAAAAAACCCAATAGTTAGATAATTTAAAACCGTAGAGGTTATTTTGTATTCTAATATTAGGACATTGGACAAATGAAGAGCATTACAAATATTTAAAATTTGTTCGATAACATAAAGAATTGTTTTAAACTAGTGTCTAAAAAAAGTTAAATAGAGTATTCAAAATGATGTCAATTGAAATACCAACTAGAACTGCTTGTTAATGTAGATCTCATTATTCGAAATTCAATCCATTAGATCATATTGTAATCATTCATATATTATTATTAGGGCAAAGTAAGACGAAAATTAGTTAACGATGAATCTGTTTATCAACGTATGTTCAATACTACTCCATAAAATGACTGAGATTCATTCATTAATGTATTATTTCTATATTATTTAAATTATGTCCAATAAAATATATCTTAAATTAAATAAATTATTATTATATCTAATATACAATTGCATTCAATACTAATTACTATTATTTAATTACTAAATCTAATTATTATGTTTTTTATATTTACATAAAACATTATATATTTTTATATAATAACTTTTATCAATGTCTGAGTACTTTTCTAAATTGGTATCCATCCATTCCTAACTTTTAGTTTAGAGCCACCAGTCCCAAAACGAATATGCGTCATTCCTAAAGTATGTAAATAATCAATTGTACGAGTTAGGAAAATAACTACCTAAAGATTTTGCTTAATAAATACTCGATAATGACATTATACTCGTGCTTAGTGAATATACTAATGATGATGCACTTAGAAATTTAATTAATTTGTATATGGTAAATTATTTTCATATTTTTCATCTTTAGTTAGGAGTTGAACATTTTAAAGAAATTCAAGATTAATCATACAAATATTTTCAAATTCAATTAAATAAATTAATACTTAATCCAGTTGTTACTCAACCTAATCTACCGTCTCAATAAAAGACACCTCAATCTCCCATTATTAAGAAAAAAAATCTAGCACCTCCTAAAATAGATGTTAATATTCATTAAGAACATCAAGAAAATTAAGATCATTAAATACATTAAGATTTATAATATTCTAAAACTGCTTAAATTATGAGAGATACTAAAACATCTACATTCAATTTTAATGATGATTCAATTACTTAAAATCATAATTTAAAAATTAATAAACATAATAATAATACTTCTAGTGTTGATTTTGATCATGAATAATAATAATAAAATGATATTCAAAATAGAGTATAATCATAATAAGATGAACGAAAAGAAAATATGACTTTAGATTTAAAATAACAACTATTCTTATTTGATGAAAATAAAGAAGCAAGTGATCTTATTGATTAATATAAAAGTGATTAACTCAAAATTGAAAAAATTAAAAATGAATAAATTAGCAAATAAACTACTGCATTCCTTATGAAACTATCTCAAAGAAATAATAAAAAAAAATTTAATACTTAAATTGTTACTAATATCAATAGATATAACTCTTAACCAACTTTCTAAAATTAAAATGAATCTAAATCAGAATAACGGCCCATTCAAGACTAAATTATATTTGAAGATAAAAATGAATCAAGTTCTAAAATCCTATCTAGTGAAAAAAATACTAATAAATTTTAATTTGATGAATTATAAGATACTTGATTTAAATAAATATTTACAATTAATATTATTACCATTTATAATTCTTAATATTATTTCTTTCTATTTTCTAATATATATTTTTAACCATAATGATAAAATTAAGTAAAAAATTAAATTATGAAATGGTCATAAAGAGACTAATTTTACAAAAATACTTTAGTTTTAAAATTAGAAATAGCTAGTCAATAAACTTATTGATTTAAAATTAGTTATTTTCAATTCTCTCTAATTTTATGATTAATTTTTATCTTTAGAATTCAAATAAGTACAATTAATACTATCAATTACTAAATTTCTAAATTTGAATCGTTAAATTTATTAAAAATACTAAGATTCATAATTGTTTTCAATCATGATGTATTTTGAATCATAAAATTGTAAACAAAATAAGGTTTTAAGTAAATTACAAAAAATTTAAGTTTGATTAATAATTTACATATATTAAAAGCTATTATCAATAAATTTATAGAATTTTAAATAATAGAATTATTTTTTATAAAACTTTTTAACATATTTCATTTTTATAAGAAAATTTAGTGGGAATTATATTTCTTAATTATTTCTAATAATTTAAGACAGAAAAATTTAATTTATTGTAACAAAATATTAATTAAAATTCATATCTTTATTAATCTAATTTTAAAATTAAGATTATATAAAATTAAAGTTTTAATTAACTAAGTTCTAGAATTAAAAATAATCAATTCTTTAATTTCAATCATTTCTAACTTCTTAAATATAATGTTGATATACTTGAAATTCGTTAGGTAATTTTAAAATTGGAAATAAATATTCATTTTCATATATCAATCCTAAAGAAGCTTTCTCCCTTAATCTTAAAATTTTAAAATATATGTAATCAAAGAGATGCTCAACATTAATATAATTGCGGAAATCGTTTTTCTATTGTAAGTAGTTTAAAATTTATTATTTTTATTTTATGGCTTGTTATAATTTTAATTTTAAACATTATTCATTTCCATAATCCTTTTTTAAGCTTTTTACTTAAATGTGAATAAATTTTGGTGAAATTAATATGAAATCATCATCTTCATATTATTATTATATTCTTCCTAATTATAAATCTCTTTAAGAAGCAGTTCTAACAAATTACAATTTACGCGCCTTTCATTCTTTTATAATTCTTAATTTCTCATAGAATTTCTACAAACAAGGGTACTAATAGAAGTGGGGAAAATTAATTATTTATTAATAAATTTAGAAGCAATGTAATAATCTAATGATGTGAAATATTAAGACCTGATTGAAAAAGGTCAAGAAATAATTAAAGAAATCATAAATGAAGTGGAAAAAGATTTTGAAAAGTTTTTAGAATTCACAGAAAAACACACAAAGAAAGAAATAATAATTTTATGTGGAAATACTGGAGCTGGAAAAAGCACAATTTATAATTGGTTATTGGGAGCTCAATTTTAAATAACTAGAAATTCATTATAAATAAAATAGGCAAATTAAGAATTTAAAATATCTCCTTAAAGTTCAAGCAGCATATCCGTGACATAAAATCCATTCTATGAGTATATTTAAGAATTCGATCACATTTTAGTAGACTTTCCTGGATTTGAAAGTACGAAAAGTGAAAATCATCAATTATATGTTGATCTACTTTTTAAAAAGATAACAAATGCATTTGAAACAAAAATAGTATATGTATTAGAGAATACAAAATTTAACTTAACATAAAGAGGAAAAGATTATTAAAGCTTTATTATAGATAAAATATAGTCAGATACAAAAAATGTAGAAAATGTTTGTTTGATTCTAAATTAATATAATGATAGACCTTCTGATGATGAATTTATTTAAAATGTTAAGGATATTCTTGAAAAAAGAAGAGAACTTAAAAATTTACCAAAAAGTATTTGTGTTATTCGATAAATTCAAAATGACAATGATATAAATGAAATTTTATCAGAAGAAAAGAGATAGTAACTTATTTAAAAATAAGTTTAAGCAATAAAAATTACTTTAAGACCTACCAATTCAGTTAAATTATAAGAAGGCTAAATCATAAACGATTATCTAAATGTTATGAGTTAATTTTATTTTACAAATTTAACAAATATGGGAAACTAAATTAAAATGATGATAAATTAAAAAAAAATATAGATAACATAATAATGATAGAATCAGGAGGATAAATTGAATCTTTTAATATATAAGAAATAAAAAAATTGTTCAATTTATATAAAACTATGATTTAAACTTGCAATAATTATAATGAAATTTTTGATAAGGATTTCAACATTTTTGAGAAGATTTATAATTATTTTGAACCTTTTAACCCTATGATGAAATGTTTTGATTAAATACAATAACAACTTAAAAATGAATAAAGCAATCTAGATACAATTAATTAATTAATAAAAAAAAGTTAGGAAAATAATAAAGAAATATAAATGAAAAGAGATTAGATTGCAATTCATATAAATGACACTAAAGAAGGTTCAGAAGGTTCCAGTATTTTAGAGATATTTGGTTGGGGGATTGGTTTGGGGATTGGTTTTGTTGCGTTGGTAGGAGGAATTTTAATTGTCTTCTTTAAAAAATGATCTATAATTTATCATTATTACATATAATTAAATTTACAATTATAATTAACATTTGTAACCTCTATTTAATTTATTGTTTCATATATTTAGACTTTGAATGTATATCTATTTTAAAATAAAACTAATATTTACATGATAAACATGATATTTATTAATAGTAATTTTTTCAACTTTATTAAATATTACAATTATTTTGACTTAGAGTTCAAAAATGAAAGAAGAATTTTATATTTGATATTAATAAATATATTATAAGTATTAAAAAGGAATTAAATTTATTAATTAAAATAACAATTTAAAAATAGAAATATGATGAATTAAATAATAATGTTAATATTTATAACAGTCATAATTACAAAAGCATAATTATCTTTGATTGTAGAAGAATTTAAAGGAAATTTTAAGGAGAATTATGGTAATTGCATTGATTATTTAGATAAAAGGTTGGACAATTTAAAATGGATAGAAAGAATTAGAAAAATGCAACTCATAAACAATATTTGGAAGTTTTGGAAGTAATACAATAGTAAGTAAATTATTTTAACTCCCAAAACACTCTTAAATAAATTTAAGTTTAGATTTATGGAGGTAAATACTTTATAAGATATGAAAAAGTCCTGAATTTGATGGTGGAATTAAAGTTTATGTAGATTAAGTAGAAGTTCATGATAAAAGTGAATAGATTAAATGTAGTGAAAACAAAAATATAATTAGAAAATGGAATAATACATTAATTCATAGTGGAAACAGTGTGATAATAGTTTTAAGTGGTACAGGAGAGTAAATTGATTATAAGGTAATAATAATAAGTAAAAATGAAGTGGGGATTTACAAATTTAGAGATATAAGTAGAGAAATGTTAAATAGGATGTTAAGTATGTAATTATGAAGATACTTTTGAAGAATGTTTGTTATGGTAATAATTTTAGAATAGTTGGACATCTATATAATAAAATTATTTAGGTTAAGATGGATGGGCTTCATCAAGTGGTATAAGTGGAACAACTGAATGTGGTGGTATTAATATATAAATATTAATAAGGTGTACCATTGATTGGAGGCTTTAATAAATTTGGATAAAAACTAAGTTTAAGTAAGACTATAAAATTAAGACCTCATTATAAGATTAGATTATTAGTATTATGGGCTAAAATAGATTCATGGGATAATGAAAAAGCTTAGATTTTATTTGATGGAAAGGAAATATGGAGTAAAAATTATAATATAAATGATGGATATATTAATAAAATATGTGGTAATTCAGAAATACAATTCAAAACTTAATTTGAAAGAATTGATGCTGTAGGTGATCATACAGGAGATTAGATCTAAATAACATTTACTACAACACTTGATTAGAATTCAAATGATGAATCATTTGGATTAAGAGATTTATAATTATTTTATGCCCCATGTTCAGAAGATTGTAAAGAATGTTCAGGTCCTCAATTTAGAGATTGTACAAGTAATTATATAAATTATTATCAAAGGATGTTTATATAATTATATTTTATAAGATCAAAATTGCTAAAAATTACAAAATTTTTATATATTAGAAACTGATTTTCATTCAGAGAAATTTACTAATTCTTTTGGATGGATCTTATAAAATACAACTGTTGATACTATTATTAGTTATTGTTTAGATAAATCTATTTTAGGCGGATTTGGTATATTAGGAGTTGGTGCTTCTGCTAAAAAATAATTCATCATACCAAATCATAAGAGATTGAGATTATAAATTGTTCTTTATAAAATTGATTCTTGGGATAATGAAAAAATCTTTATATTAGTTGATAATGTTGAAATTTGGAGTACTGTTTGGAATCATGCAAATGAAGCAAATTTCTGTGGTCAAGATTGGACTGACTAAAAACAATATGTTGATATTATTTTCGACCATACAAAATTAGATACTTTAATTGAAATTTCATCTACACTTAATTAAAATGCTAATGATGGTAATTCTTTTATTCATTTATTAGAATCTTGGGGATTTAGAGAATTTACTTTAATGTATGATCTTGCTAACATAATTTAAATTATTCCAACTTATTAATCTATAACATCAGTCTTAACATTAATTTTGATTTTTATTATTAATATTTGATTTAGTATACACTATTTTTATATTATTTTGTGGATAAAGGAAGATTTAAATATGTATTTTAATGTAAGAGATTCTAAATACAATTTTAACATATACTGATATATTCTATTTACTGATCAATTTTTTATAGATTCACAAGTCAATAAATAAGTGATGTATATCATAGTTAAAGTTAAATTAATTTGTAGAATAAAAAAAAAGATTGTATTTATGTATGATTTGATTAAACCAATCAAATAAAATTTTCATTATTGCTTTCAGAAGGGAGGTAAAAATTTTTTGTTGATCTTTTAGTTAATATTTTCATGGATAAAGTTATTTTTGAATTAGTTTTGAAAGAGGAGTTATGTAATTGATCAAGTATTTGAAAATTATAATTTAAATTTATTATGTTGAAATAAATTTAATTATGTATTTGTAAGATATTTTTCAATTTTATTTTGACTGAATTCTAAATGTATTTAAGTATATAATAATTATCTTAAATTTTCAGATTAATTGATTAAAAAATATAAAGTAATATATTAATATAAGTAATTATAAAATATTTTAATCATTTCATAAGCCGATTTGTTAGGCGAATAAATAAAATAATGATGCCTAATGCTCTACTAATCAAAATTAAAGCTTCTTATTCAACATTAATTTTCTAGATATTTTTTTGTCAGTCAATTTATAATGATTATTATTTTTTATTTAATTTTCTAGTTTTATTATTTTGAATCTAATTCTCGGATTTTTATATAATTTAGATCTTTATTTTTAGGAGAACAAACAAAAATTTAATTAAAAAATTTTAGTTTCATTTTTAATTTAACTTCTGATATGAATCTTTGAAGTTTGATCAGCAATAATTTAACTAGAATTCAAAGTATATTATTGTTATTATTATTAATATGATTCTTCTTTTTATTTTAATGATTCTACTAATCTTGTTTTCAGAACTCTTTTTAATTCAATTGCATCAACGTTATCAACTTAATTATAAATATACTTGATTACCATTCAATAGTCAAATACATTCAATATGGCTATTAGAATTATAAAATACTTAGAAGTTTATCATGTGGCATCATTTTATAATATTATAAATAAAGATAATATAAAAAACGGTAATTTAGTATGATGAATAATTGATAGTTCTAGTAGGTAAATTTTGAATTTATTACTATTCAAAGACATGATCTTTGAGATAAATTGAAAGTTCATAATTATTCAAGAAATTAAGGATCATTAAAAATTTATTAATTTCCAAAGAATTGATTCAAAAAAGCAATGTAGGACATTTTAATCCTATTTAATTTATCCACGTCTTTTATAGCAAGATTAAAATGTTATGATGTATCTAAAATAAATAGATGATATTTGTGATTTATTGATCGAATCCAAATATGTGGCAGAGTAATGAAATAGGAATGAGGAATTTAATGATTTTTAATTGTATTTAATATAATATTATTTATAGTTAAATAAGAATCAATAAAGGAGAGAGAATTTTAAATATATTAATTGTTAATTGTTTATAATAATTTTATCATAATAATATTGCGAATTAAAAGATTGATAGCATATAGCTTATTACACACTATTTTGACCATTGAGATTAAAAATACTCAAAAGAAAATTAATAATTTTAACTAACAATTAAGAAAAGATAGTAAACATGGCAGAGTAATCAATTAGCGATGTTCTCAGTGGAGCATTTGCAGGAGTGTGTTTTAGACTTTTTGGTCATCCTTTTGAGTAAAATATCTTTTATATTAAAGTACTATAAAGGTGAGGATGATAATGGGGAACTAAAATAAATCAATATTTAGAGTTGGTTTGAACATCTATAAAAATGAAGGAGTAATGAATGATTATAGTTTAGTTTAAAGCTTATTATAAAGGAATGTTATCTCCAATACTTGCTGAAGTACCTTGCAATGCTGTAATGTTTGCAGTTTATGAAGCAGTATATCGTGAGCTTTGTCCTTATCCATACAGTAATCAAGCTTAAATTGTTCCCTGTATTATTTATAATAAAAGTATGATAGGGCTGATTGCAGGAGGAGTGAGTGGAATAGCATATGCTTTAGTAGTATGTCCAGCTGAAATGATTAAATGTTTACTNTTAATTTAACTTCTGATATGAATCTTTGAAGTTTGATCAGCAATAATTTAACTAGAATTCAAAGTATATTATTGTTATTATTATTAATATGATTCTTCTTTTTATTTTAATGATTCTACTAATCTTGTTTTCAGAACTCTTTTTAATTCAATTGCATCAACGTTATCAACTTAATTATAAATATACTTGATTACCATTCAATAGTCAAATACATTCAATATGGCTATTAGAATTATAAAATACTTAGAAGTTTATCATGTGGCATCATTTTATAATATTATAAATAAAGATAATATAAAAAACGGTAATTTAGTATGATGAATAATTGATAGTTCTAGTAGGTAAATTTTGAATTTATTACTATTCAAAGACATGATCTTTGAGATAAATTGAAAGTTCATAATTATTCAAGAAATTAAGGATCATTAAAAATTTATTAATTTCCAAAGAATTGATTCAAAAAAGCAATGTAGGACATTTTAATCCTATTTAATTTATCCACGTCTTTTATAGCAAGATTAAAATGTTATGATGTATCTAAAATAAATAGATGATATTTGTGATTTATTGATCGAATCCAAATATGTGGCAGAGTAATGAAATAGGAATGAGGAATTTAATGATTTTTAATTGTATTTAATATAATATTATTTATAGTTAAATAAGAATCAATAAAGGAGAGAGAATTTTAAATATATTAATTGTTAATTGTTTATAATAATTTTATCATAATAATATTGCGAATTAAAAGATTGATAGCATATAGCTTATTACACACTATTTTGACCATTGAGATTAAAAATACTCAAAAGAAAATTAATAATTTTAACTAACAATTAAGAAAAGATAGTAAACATGGCAGAGTAATCAATTAGCGATGTTCTCAGTGGAGCATTTGCAGGAGTGTGTTTTAGACTTTTTGGTCATCCTTTTGAGTAAAATATCTTTTATATTAAAGTACTATAAAGGTGAGGATGATAATGGGGAACTAAAATAAATCAATATTTAGAGTTGGTTTGAACATCTATAAAAATGAAGGAGTAATGAATGATTATAGTTTAGTTTAAAGCTTATTATAAAGGAATGTTATCTCCAATACTTGCTGAAGTACCTTGCAATGCTGTAATGTTTGCAGTTTATGAAGCAGTATATCGTGAGCTTTGTCCTTATCCATACAGTAATCAAGCTTAAATTGTTCCCTGTATTATTTATAATAAAAGTATGATAGGGCTGATTGCAGGAGGAGTGAGTGGAATAGCATATGCTTTAGTAGTATGTCCAGCTGAAATGATTAAATGTTTACTTCAGATGCAAATAAAAAATATTGATCATGAACTGAGGTCTCCATTTAGATGTGTAGTCACTTTATTATAAAGAGAGGGTATCCGTGGAATGTTTAAAGGATTAGTGGCTACAATAATCAGAGATGTGCCTCAAAATGCAGGTATTTAGAAATTCTATAAGGCTATTAGCTTTCTTCACAACTTATGAATACACAAAATATTTATTCAAACAAAGGAATAATTCTGATGATATAAGTTTTTTGTAGGCTTTAGTATGTGGTGGCATGAGTGGAATAGCTTGTTGTCTTGCTTCTTATCCTTTAGATGTAGTTAAGACTCAACTTTAATGTGAAGCAGCTGTATTCAAATCCTAAAGAAAATTTAGACCTATTCTAATGGATGGTGGTGTAATTATGTGTACTACACACATATTATAAAAAAACGGAATTATGGGTATTATACAATATAAATAATTTTAGGTTTCTTTAATGGAATCCAAAGTTGCCTTATTTATTATCTTATAGGATGTTCTGCCTAATTTACAGGTTATTATTATGCATAATAACTCTTTAAATAAGCACTTCCTATTTATTGATTGTATTATTTTATTTGATAATATCTTTAATAAATTAATATAAATCACTATTTAAAACCATAAGTACATCCACACAAAAACATAAATATATTTAACATAACAATCACTTCTATATAAGCAGTATTAAAATTTATTAATAATGTTGTATAACCATTATCGAAATCTATAAGGTAGAGTGTCTCCTAAGAATCATCTAATTAATTATGATTTTCCGTCTGATAGATTGCCTAATAGTAAATCACCACCTCTTGCTATTGATAACAATTCACAAACTATAAATAAAAGGAATTCTCAAGATAGAACGTTATTGTATTAATTAAGTCTTAACTTATATATTTTAGCAATTCAATCAATCTAAATGATGATACTTAGTTATGTAAAACACCTTTTTTCTTAAGCAAAGATAGTTTTAGATCTAGATCTAAAAGTCCAATATATTTGCCTATTTAAAATTCACCAAAATAATTCGGAATACCAATCAAAAAGTAAGTAGCAGATGAATTTTATTGGAATTGGAATAAGTAATCCTCTGAAAAAACACTCAAGTAAAATAAATTGAGGAATCTCAATATTAATATGAATGAAATGGCTTAAGTTCATTAATTACCTTAATCAAATAGAAATAGCAAATAAAACAATAGAAATTTTGATAATATCTTCTAACAATTGATTGTTAAATATGGTTCTTCATAATAATAATAATTATAAAAAACAACAACAATAAAAAAGTAATAACAATAAGATGATAATGAAAATGATGAAGAACTTAAAAATGATTCAATTATTTGTGTAAATAAATCTAATTTTGCTTTTCATTTTATAATAGGTAAAGGTGGATTTGGTAAAGTTTGGAAAGTTGAATTAAAAAAGAATAGAAATCTTTATGCAATGAAAGAAATGTCTAAGGCTAAAATAATTGCTAAAAGGAGTGTAAATTCCGTACTAAATGAACGTAATCTTTTGACATAATATAAACATCCATTTTTAATAAATATGATATACTCTTTTTAAGATAGAGATAATTTATATTTAGTGATGGATCTATTGACAGGAGGAGACTTAAGATAACATGTAGGTAGATTAGGAAGATTTAATGAATAATAAACTAAATTTTTTGTATCTTGTGTACTATTAGCTTTAGAATATCTTCATAATTAAAATGTTATTCATAGAGATGTTAAACCAGAAAATATTGTATTAGATTATAAAGGTTACGCAAGATTAACTGATCTAGGTATTGCTAGAATATTTAAAAATGATAATTCTTAAGATACTAGTGGAACTCCTGGTTATATGGGTAAATCTTTAATTCATTCTATTTTTAGCTCCTGAAGTTATGTGTAAATTAAATCATACTATTGCTGTTGATTATTTTGCTTTAGGTGTTATGACTTATGAATTTATGTTAGGTCATAGACCATATTAAGGAAAATCAAGATAAGATATTAAAGATTAAGTTTTATCTAAATAAGTTTAAATCAAAAGAACATAGATTCCTAATGATTGGTCATTTCATGCTGCTGATTTTATTAATAAATTAATCTAAAGAAAACCTACAAATCGATTAGGATTTAATGGACCTGATGAAGTTAAAAATCATCTTTGGTTACAAGGTGTTCCATGGAATAAATTATTAAATAAAGAAATCTAATCTCCTTTCATTCCACCCGTATATTATTATATTTATTTAGTCTTTACAAGATAATTTAGAATGCAATTTCAATTTAGATTCAGAATCTTCAGATGAATTCATGTTAGAATATAAATTACTCTTAAAAAAAAATTCCATTTAAAGTAATCATTTCATCTATCTCAGATTTATTCGTTGGATATAATTATGATTAAAATATAAAACCAAGTTTAAAATTAACTAAAACTACAACTAGCATTCTAAATTTAAATTGATCTTGATTATATATTTATTTGATTATAGTTTACAAAATTTAAAGTATATTTTTATTCATATTAAGTGCATATAAATATATATTCAATTTCAAACATTTATTTCAAATCAATGCCAATTTATAGCAAAGAAATGTTGAAAATTCAAACATTTTTTAATATTCTATCATGCTATTTATTATTTATTTATCATTAAAATTAGCTGCCAATTTTACTTTAACTATTTATTTAATCTAATGTTCTAAATTTTCATTTTGCTTAGTTATCTCAATATCATGTTCACTCACTATAGCAATTTAAATTGCTTATTTTTTTTATTATAAACATCTTAAATATTCTTCCATTAATCTTTTTATTTCTTATTCTTTTTATTTACTTTCTTCAATTTATTTTTATAATTCATCTTATTTCAATAATATAGTTTCATTTTTAACATCTGTCTATTATTAAATTAATCTATCAACAGCTTTAATCTTTAAAGATAAATATCTCTTTAAGTATCTTGAATTATGATATAATTTTATATAAACAACTAAAGTTAACAGATCTAAATAGCTATTTTAATTTTATTGATATTCTTAATTAAACCTTTAAATTTATAAAAAAGATGGTAAAAGTTTAAGTGTTATGTTAGTTTAAATTATCATAACCTTTATTTTATTAATTTATTTTTATAACTCATCATTGTTATACATGTTTCTTAACATCATTTCTGTTACTTCTTGTAATTTATTTTACAATGATTCTTTTTAATTTTTAATTCCATTCCATGAATCTATAATTTCTTTATAAAAATCTTGATCCTAAAAGAATTTAAGCCTAACCTTTACTTAATTTATGATGTTTATAGTTTCTTTAAGTTTATATGTAATATTTTCATGTGTTTCTGAAGAAAAAATTTCATAACTTTAATTCAATAGTCCTTTTTGATCAAATTTCATACGATTTGACTCAATTATTTGATTATTTACTTGTAATTTCTATTAACAATCCAATAAATGTTCCATTTATCTTTCAAGTGTTTGTAACAAATCATTCTTAGACTATTCTAAATTAGAGATGATTTTTATATCTGTACAATCAAGCTTAGATGCCTATAAATATGTTTCCATAAATCCCATTAAATAATTTGATTAATTAAGAAGATTTTACAATTCCTTCTCCAAATTATTTTGATCTAATGTTTAGAAAATTTTATATTTTGTCTAAAATTATTGAAATGTTTGTTTTTCATGATTGGTCATTTATATAATTTTATCATTAAAAAATTGAATTTTTTGAATGAACAAAAGCATATTTTCAATTTAACTATCTTCAATCAATTCAGATAGTTATTCTAGTTCTTAGTTTAAAGTCTATTTCTAATTCATTAATTTTTAGATTTTTTCATTATAATAATTATTTTATTGGTTTTGGATTTATTATTGTAAATTTTTATTTTTTAAATCTTGTAATATAACAATTTCATCATTTAATAATGTATTATATTAATTAAATAAATTGTTTGACTTGTGAAAAAAAGTATTTTTTTCTCTTTTCAATTAATTACTCAACTATTCCAATTCTATTTCTTTTTCAATTGAATCCACTTCCATAGTAATTTTAATTAACTACTTCTAAAATTCTCTAATTTTTTCTGCTATTTCTTTGGGTTAGTTTATTTATAAATTTAACTCTTATTTAATTCTTATTAAAATTTGTTTAATTTCTAGATACTTTTATGGTTTTTGAACATTTATTAATGAATTATCTAACTATTTATCAAGAATTTCTATTTAATTTTCTGTTTCTTAAAGAATTTGCTGTGATAAAGCTAATGGACCACTGAAATATGCTTAGAATCCAAATATTTCATTTTCTTTAACTGACATTTATAAATTATAATCCAATAAAAGTTGTTATTTGATTTGCAAAGAAATTTCACCTTTTATTTAATTTTCTTTCTCTTTTATACGTTTGTTTATTTTATCCTCTTAATTTAAAATCTTGCTGGTTATTGAAACCTACAATTATTATTAGAATTAAGAAAACAAATTGTCTAATAATTGCAATTTATATTAGTTATTAAAATTTCCTTATTCTAGAATAGCATATCTCTATTACATATAAAGTTCATANTACAATCAAGCTTAGATGCCTATAAATATGTTTCCATAAATCCCATTAAATAATTTGATTAATTAAGAAGATTTTACAATTCCTTCTCCAAATTATTTTGATCTAATGTTTAGAAAATTTTATATTTTGTCTAAAATTATTGAAATGTTTGTTTTTCATGATTGGTCATTTATATAATTTTATCATTAAAAAATTGAATTTTTTGAATGAACAAAAGCATATTTTCAATTTAACTATCTTCAATCAATTCAGATAGTTATTCTAGTTCTTAGTTTAAAGTCTATTTCTAATTCATTAATTTTTAGATTTTTTCATTATAATAATTATTTTATTGGTTTTGGATTTATTATTGTAAATTTTTATTTTTTAAATCTTGTAATATAACAATTTCATCATTTAATAATGTATTATATTAATTAAATAAATTGTTTGACTTGTGAAAAAAAGTATTTTTTTCTCTTTTCAATTAATTACTCAACTATTCCAATTCTATTTCTTTTTCAATTGAATCCACTTCCATAGTAATTTTAATTAACTACTTCTAAAATTCTCTAATTTTTTCTGCTATTTCTTTGGGTTAGTTTATTTATAAATTTAACTCTTATTTAATTCTTATTAAAATTTGTTTAATTTCTAGATACTTTTATGGTTTTTGAACATTTATTAATGAATTATCTAACTATTTATCAAGAATTTCTATTTAATTTTCTGTTTCTTAAAGAATTTGCTGTGATAAAGCTAATGGACCACTGAAATATGCTTAGAATCCAAATATTTCATTTTCTTTAACTGACATTTATAAATTATAATCCAATAAAAGTTGTTATTTGATTTGCAAAGAAATTTCACCTTTTATTTAATTTTCTTTCTCTTTTATACGTTTGTTTATTTTATCCTCTTAATTTAAAATCTTGCTGGTTATTGAAACCTACAATTATTATTAGAATTAAGAAAACAAATTGTCTAATAATTGCAATTTATATTAGTTATTAAAATTTCCTTATTCTAGAATAGCATATCTCTATTACATATAAAGTTCATATTAATTATTATTGATAAGTAATAATTGATTCGTTTAATTGATTTCATCTTATATGATATCAATATTTGCTTTTTTGATTGATATTTATTTTTAATTGAAAACTTCTAATTATTCATCTTTGAATTATAAATCAAGTTACTATTAAATTTCGTTTTTAAAATTATTCAATTAATTGATTTAATCAACTTATTTTTGTAAGGGATTCATGTTATTCACATCTGCTTAATAAAAACAGAATTTTTCTAAATTGCTAAATAAAATATCAAGAGTTATCCTTTTTGAACTTTAGATAACCAACATTTATTTTAACATTTTTTTGATTTTTGGATTAATTTAATTTTTATTTTGATCAATCTATAAATCAATACTTTCTTAATTTAATTCATTATTATTATTTTAAATTATGATTTCTCCAGTTAACATCTCATACCAAATTACTCCTAAAGACCAAACATCCACTTATTTATCATAATATTCATCATTCATAATTTCAGGAGCTAAGTATTCAATTGATCCTAATTCAAGTGATTTATCTAATTCTTTATCTGTTTATAATTATGCCAGTCCAAAATCAAAAAGCTTGAGTACTTATTCATTATTTAAATTTTCACAAAAAACAAAGTGTATAGGTTTCAAATTTCTATGAAATGTACCAAATCTATGAAATTCTTAAATAGCTTTAACCAACTATTTTTAATATAAAACCATACTTATAGAAATAAATGACATTTTTCAATTTCTTATTTTATTTTGTATTCATTCTCACGAATGTAATAACTCAATAATTTTTTTGTTTTTTCAATAATCAAAAAAGCCTTTTGTTCTTGTTTTTCATACATTTTAATTTCAATTATATGTTATTATTTAACTCTTTATTGGAGTCTTAATAAATTCTCTTCTGTAGTTGTAATTTTAGATTATTCTTTTATTGTTATTAATTCACCTGTTTCAATAATTTTTGCTTAAAAAAATTTAAATTCATCTTCATCTAGATATGGCTCATACTTTTCAATTTGAATTCCTTAAAATGTGATAGATGCTATTTACTACATATATAAATTATTTATTTTTTGAGATTTAACAATTAAAATATAAGAAAAAATAAATAAACTATTTATGCTAATAGAAAAAACAAAAATCTATTCCAATAATTAAAAAATATAATTGCTTAATTTCAATGCTTCAATAACAATAGATATTATAATTTAATGGACAGGAAATTTAAATCTTAAAATAAATAAATGAGATAGGCAAAATTAGATTATTCTAGGGCATCTTAAAAGTATCGAAACAAAATATACAAATAATTGAAATCGATATAAATTTAAAAAAGAATGAATAGCTAAAGTTTTTAGTTTATGAAATGGATGATTTAAAATTCTATAATGATAAATTTTAAAATATTTTTTTAAAAACTTAAAATGAACACCTTGTAAAATTAAATTAGCATCAAATATGTTGTTGGGAACAATATTTTTAATAATAAGAATTCAAACTCTTGCCTATATAATCAAAACACAAGTTATTTCAAAAGGTATTTCTAATCTTAAATGTTAGTATTGTAGAATATACATAAAGTAGAAAAGTTTTAATATTTGTATACTTTAATTGGATTAGTTAGGAAAGGTTTAAATAAAATCATTAAGCCAACGATTATTTCGAAATAATGATTGGATTAATTAATTGGATCTTCATTAAGAATACTCACTAATGGATGTTTAATTAATTAAAAAATTTGGCTTGATTTACTTTTAAATATTAACTGATATTAATTCTGAATGTACAATTAATATTATTAATATTAGAATTAAATAATATTTCAAAAGACTAAAAAATTTAATTAATCCAAGATTCTCCAATTTATGAATGGTAAAAAAATTAAATTTTTAATCTTTTCAATCTAAAATTTGTTGAATAATTAACACAATAGCATATTTTAACCTTTTTAATAAAAAAAGATTAATTTGAAATTAATACTCAAGATATTAAATTCTAATTAGAATAAAAAAATGATAAATTAAATTCTATTGAAAAAGAGTTATAATAATAAGAAATCATTTTTTAATACTCTTTATAATAATCATAGATTTAAAACTAGTTAAATTATCTTTATTATCAAATAAATAAAGTGAAAAGTAATAATGAAATATTTGAAGAATATAAAAAAGTTAATAAATTTAATTCTGAAGTCTATAATAATATTAAAAATGCTTTCATAATATAAAATGATTAAAACCTGATAGAAGAAATGTTAAAATTACAATTAGATGAACTTATTAAATAGTTTAATTAACTGCATCTCAAATTGTAATATAATTTTAGCGAGAATTTAATCGTTATTCATAATTAACTATAATTAAAATTAGATGAATTGTATGGACCAACTTAATTTTTAGGATAATTTGGAAGATTTAAAATATCCTTATTTGCTAAATTATAGAATTAAAACAAAAGTATAATCCAGAAATTATAATAATAAATAAAAAATACTATTTAATAGAATCTTTTGAATATTTTAGATTTTAATCAATCTCTTGATAATTTATAATAGATGAGTGAGATTATTAAGTAAGAATTTAAATATTATGAGAATTAATTGGTTAATTGTTCGATCGAAATCTAATAACTATTAGAAAAAAATTAAAAATAAATATAAAAAGAATTTGAAAACATTAATTTGAGATATATGATGATGATTATATCAAAAGATGAATCTGAGTAATTTTCTCTTGTATAATCTTTATTGGAAAAATAACTACTTCTAAAAGAAACCTTAAATCAATAACTAAATTAGAAAAACAATTTCATGTATACTTAAAATGGTAAAAAGCTTGATATATTTAAAACAAGTTAAAAACTTCAAGAATCAGAATATGCTACAAGAGCTCTTCATAGTATTGTTGAAAAATCTAATATAGATTTATTTTAGTTTGAAAATTAGAATAGCCCATTAATTTTGAATAAAGTAAATTAATTAAGAATTTAAAATAAAGAAAAGTTATAAAGATTGCAATAAGAATTTAATTATTAACTTTTATCCATAAAATTTCTTTTGTCAGAATTTTTTAAGAATTAGAAGAATTTTGAGAATTAATAGCTAAGTTAGTATCAAATTAGAATAAATGTGGTAATATAAAAATAAAATTAACGATTTTGTATAATTAAAGAAGTTCTAGAATAGGATTAGATTTAGAGATTCCATTTGTAAAATGTTTCTATGAAAATAGAAGAAGAGAGAAAAATGATAAATGTATTTATTTAACAAGAGCTTAAAATGTTTATTGAGCAATTAAACAAAAATACTAAGAGTTAATAGGGAGATGAATAAGAATTAAATTAATAAATGTTGGATTTTGAGTTTATGATTTTATAAACTCAATATGATATAGTAAAATATTAATTAAATCTATAAAAATAAACTGTTAAATAAAAGTTTACAAATTTAGAAACAGAATTTTAGGAATAATAATTGCTATTAAAAAAGATTGAAATGTTATCTAAGGAGAATAGTGATTTAATTAATTAGAAAGAAGTTAATAGAAATTTGTATTTTAATAATCTAATTTAAAAAATTAAACTGAGGTTTGAGAAATAAAGATCAAGTTTTTATTAATTTTAAAATTTTTTAAAAGAAAAGAAAGCTAAAATAAATTTACAATAAGAAGAGGAATGGTTATGTTATTTAATTGAATAAAAATAGAATGAAATTAGTAAAGAGTTTGAAACAATATAAAAATTTCAGAATAGTGAATAGGATGAAAAAGAAAAGAAAGTCTAATATAAATAATTAAGAAGTAAATTAGAGTATATTTCATAAGAGATAATAAATAAAGGAGATTAGATAGGTTTGAATGCATAAGGATATTATCAATAGTATTTATTGATAATTTTGAGTAAATTTTATCATATGAAGAGATTTTATGAAAGAGTGAATTAATCTTTAGATATTAAAGATAATTACGAATAAGAAGATATAAATTTAATTAATTAATAAAAAGTGGAAATTATAAATTTGGAGGGCAAAGTTGATTATTATAGGAATATAATAGAGAATTGTAGTTAGAAAGATTGGATTGAGAATTTATTTGAAGAATTAGAAAATATAGAAAATTAAATAGATTAAAAGAAGCATTATTTCTAGTAGGTAATACAATAGCACAATGAGAATAAACTAAACAGAAATTTAAAATAGAAAAAAACAATTGATTAAGTTTAGAAGTTTAGTAATTATTTAGAGTTTTCTAATATTTTATCTATAAAATTAATAGTATAGAAAAATGATTGAGATATAATGTGGAATAAAAATATATTAATAATTATATTTTTAATATTTTTAATGAAAATCAAAATCATTATTTGATTTCTTCATTAATTCTCTTCTTGCCATCTTGAGTGACTCTTAAAGAAACAATGATTTTAGGCTTTTTTCCTTTTTCTAAAGTTTGGGTAAGTGTTTCAACTTTTTGAATAGTAGCAAGACCTATAAAAAATGAATGAATATATATATATTACCCTATCTTGAAAGTGTTTCAGCACATCTAACAGCTCCAGATATAGCATCACCAAGAGCATGTATTTCAACTTCATCAAATTTCTTCAAGAAGATCTTAGAAATGAATACAGCTGTTCTTGGTTTGGTAGAACCACTTAATTAGAAAGTTTTATCTTTAGGGTCGATGAGGGTTTTCTTCTATTGATCCATGGTTGAATAATGGTTTTGAAGAGTAATATTAAAAAATATATTTGTTTAATTAATTAATGATTTTACACATAATCAAATTATTTAATAATTCATTACAATTATTTATCTAATTAATCATCATGTTAATTGAGTACTTCAATCTCACCTTCAACATGCTTAACTTAAGGTCTTTTATATCTTCCAATATTAGATATTTCATATTAACCATAGATACAAACAATTATAGCAAAAAATAAACATGGAATTATTGATGCTACCCAAGTTGCAGCCCATTCTACAGTATCATCATAATCAGTAAATTCAGAATCTCCATAAAATAATATTTTCTATTAATATATATTGTTTAATTACTCCTTTATTATAATGAATAACACTATTATCTATTTCAACTCTTTTCATATTATTATAGGGATTTTATGATAATAATTAAGATAATTAATCTTGTTTAAAGAATAATGGAATTGAAGATATATACCAATTAGCAGTTAAACAAGGTCTAAAATTATTAATATTTATACGGAATATTGATAGGTGCTTTATATGTGATATAAGAAGTGGTATCTGATTTAATATTCCCCAATATATTTTATTTAAAATTGAAATTACTTAATGTATCACTACTCATATTAAAATCAGCACTAAATTTTAATGTCTATTATTCTGGTAATTTATATATAGGAAATGAAATAACTGAATAAATAGGCTCTATCTCACATAATGAATATAATTGATCCTAAATCATAAATATTTACAATTCTCCATCTGGAATTGAAGATTAAAAATCTAAACTATGTTCAGCAAAACTAAATTAAAAGAATTCTGATTAATAAGAAACATAATTATTTAATCCTTAACTTCTCATCTTTATTCCATCAGTCCTGTATTATAATGTTGGACCAGCTGTACTATTCTTTGTTATTGTTAAATTTTCTGCAATATCCAATATTATTTGTAAATTTAATAATTCCATTACTGAACTCTAGATTTCCTTCATATTTGATGTTGTTGCTGGACATATTGATATTACCTCTAAATTTATATTTAATTTTACATTATATATCATCATAATTCCATAATTATCCTGATTTTGGATCTACTGTATTCATTGAAAATTTGTATGATTAATAATCCAGATTTTAATTGCATTTTTGGCTCAATACATATCCAACCAAAATTAAACATAATATTAACATTTATTTTAATAATTATTATTATCATTTTTATTTCAAATATAATTAACATTTTTTTATTATTATGATCCTCTTAATTTCTAAGCTAATTATTTTACTCTCTAATATTATACTATTGGACATAAATTCTTTGTTATATCATTCTATTTTCATAGCATTCTTATTATTACTAATCTCAAATTTGGTTTTGGCAAAGTCTTTGGCTCTTCTTCACTCAATAATGAATATACTTCACTTATCAATTTCTCTAACTCTATTTTCTTTTCTACATTCTACTTATCGTTTATTTATTTCTACTAAGTCAATTCTATCTACTTCTACTAAACTTATATTCTTTATTCTTATTATATTTAACATTATTATGTTTGTTTCTTTTTTCTATTCAACAAATCTTGAATTTTTATATATTATTTCTATTCCATTGAAATGTTATTAAAACTATAAAACATATAGTTATTGTTATGTTTAATATTCAAATATTCTGGATCTTGGATATAATTCTTTTAATATTTTTACTTTTACATCTAAAATTTATGTCTGTCTTTACAATCTTATTTATAAAACTCGAATGTTTAATTAATTATATTCCTTTGATAATTATCTTATTTTTCTGTTAATCTATCAATTCATTATCAACTCTTTTATTACTTAAATAAAACAAAGTAATTCCTTATCATTCAAAAATTAAGTGATTATCAATACTAAACTTCCAACTCCAAGAACTCTTTCTGAATTTCTCAAAAGAACATCAAAATTTCCATATTTTATTTGATTGAAATATTTTCTTATTAAAGAGTTCATTAAACTTTCAATTATTAATTAATTAACTATTTTCTTTAAAAAAAATATTGTTTTTCCAAAATCTTAACATTTACATAACTATCTTTCTATTTTATATATATAAAATTTTATTAAGAATGTTATTTATTTTGAAGAATATATTAAATATTTAATAATTTAAATATTAATTATAAAATGTTATTTATAAATATTTATGAATAAATTTAATATATTTCATAATAGATTATTATGATAGAATTAGATCTCATTATATTTAGGAACATTTCACAGAAGGAATATCTTATGTGCTCGTTTATATTTCTTCCATAATATTGATCATTTCAGATCCTGATAATCTCTTTTTAGATTGTTTTTCATTATTTATCATCTTTCTATTTATTTCAGGATTATATTTATTATTATCTTCTTATTTAAATTTCTCTTATATCTAGTGAGTCTTAAAAATATCTTATTCTAATATTTTTATATAATTCTAAAGGGGATTTGTAAGTTCTTGATAATCCAAGAAGTTCATTGCTGACCAAAAGTCATTTTCATTATGTTTATTTTGAATGGACTAAGGAATCTCAGTAAATTTTTCTTAAACTAAATCTTCTGGAATAAAATTTAACATTGCTTTACATTAGATGTCTAAAGAAATAAAAAACAATGCGAAAGCTACTTTAAACATATTTTAATGATAAGATTAAAATTTTTTTCTTTTTAGATTTAAATCATAATTCTATCAGGTTCCTTATATAATCCGATTATTATAAATCTATAATTTTGAATAATTAATAAAGCATAGGGCATAAAATTGATTAATATTTTCTATCTTTAATGATATAACTAAAATTAATAAAATAAATTTTAAATAATTACTATTTTTACAAAAAAACAGAAAATATATAAATTAATTAAAATCATCGTTTCTTTAGGTATTTCATTTGTAACTTTTTAACTTCTTCATCAGAATCAGAGTCGTCATAATCCTTTAAATTAAATTTAATCTTAGGCATAGCTTTGGATCCAGCACTCTACTCTAATTAATTATTGGACATAATATTTTCTCTAATTCATTAAATTAAATCATACTTATTATATGATTTCTAAATAGATGATATTAAAACAGATTATTTTTTGTTTGAAGATTGCAACTACTAGGATTTCTTTTGGGATTATTATTATTATGAAAACTAAAGATGTTATTATTATTGTAATAATAAATTCTATTATTATTATTAGTATTATTATTATTATAAATGTGATTATTACTATTACTATTATTACTATTATTATTACTATTACTATTATTATTATTATTATTATTATTATTATAATTATTAAGTGAATTAATCAATTCTAACATATTTGACAGGACTTTCTTATTAAAATGTATTATTAGTCATATAATTAAATTAAGAAACATCCTTTGATTAATTGAAGGTTGGGGATTGAATTTATAAAAAATGATTTTTATCTGATTATTAATTCTGTAAAGAAAATGGAGACAAAGATTAAGAATGATATTAATGATTTTCATGTTGATTATTTCCATTGATATCTTAAATCATGGCTTAATTTCTTTTAATTTATCTTTTAATGTCACTGTCTTTCATAGATATAATAAGATCACCTAAAGATTATTTTTTATTTGTAGAAATTTTAAATTGATTAGAATTGTCAGAATTATTGGAATTATTTTATGAGATTAATTTATTGATAGAATTTCTTGTTGAATTTTGCATAGATTCAATTTTATCACATAAAATTTATTAAGCTAATTCTTCAATTTCTTATTCTTTTTTTTTAGATTAAGTTTTTAATTTCAATTATTCACTGAGGAAATCAATTTTTTAAACAGGTAAGCCAATTCTTTTATTGGTTGGATGAAATGTTTATTCATTTCTTGGAGGACTCATAGGTTGTTAAATTTAAGGTTTTTACATCTATATAAAGTTTAAGAGATACCTATTAGAGAAGTGCCCTTTATAAATCAATAATTTAAGTTTGCATTAATTTAAGTTATTCAGATTATATAATGACTAATCTTTCAGTTAGATGTTAATTTTAAGGAAAGTTAGCAGATTAATAACTTTGATTTGAATCTAAAGGTTATGGAAGTGGTGGTTATTTGACTGTGCTTTCTTATTAAAATGATTATTCTATAGTTTAAATTTATTCTGGAGATTAAATTTTTTGTTTAGTAAAATTAGATGTATGAATGGCAACTTTATTTATATGATTGATAGGATTATATAAATCTGAGAGTTTTTCAATAGAATTAAAAGGTTAAGCAGAGGCTAAATCAATTTAATGATGGTCTAAATTAATAATTTTCTCTTATGATCTTACAATTTTATATTAAGGATCTTCTTGAATACTGACTTCAAAAAATTGAGGAGATTAATTCTTTTGGAATTAAATAAATAGAAATTGATCATATTGATCTTTACAAATTCTTCTAGTAATATATGGACTACAAATAAATTCAGTTAACATTGTCCATATGTATTATCTATTATTTAATGGTTCATCATATGGATCATTGGAATAGAGCCAAGTACCTATTAATGGTAACTAAAAGATTAAAGGATCTTGAATCATTAATGGAAAGATTCTATTTGATTAATCTAGAGAGAGAAATCCAAATTTATATTATACTTTTTCTTTTTTTTGGCTTGATCTAGATTTAGTAATCATTTTAGTTAAGGGTGTTTCAACAAATTTATTAGTATGTCTTATTTCTTATAATCTAAATTTAATAGATGGATAATGTAATAATGTAGTGATTTGATTAGATTTTTAAAAGTACAATGCAAATCGAAATAGATTCAAAAAGAGTAAATCAATATTGATAGTATTGTATGAACAAGCTTTTTGATTAAAGAATTAAACAAGTTAATCTATATTCCAATTAGAATTGGAGACAGCAAAGTTCAATAAGATTGGATATAGATTATCATTTTCTAACTTCCTATTTATTAATTAATAAATTGTTTACTCTTTATAAGTTTCTTCTATATCATATGAAATGATATCAATAGAGATAGTATTGTCAAATTCAAAGGAATTAGTTAAACCATATGCTTATTTGAATTATTGATGATATTTGATTTTATGTTGCAATTTATCATTAACGAAGATTGAGGGTAAGAATTCTTCACTCTTTAATTCCATTTGAATGGATTTCAATTGATATTTGGTAATGTAATTATAAAATGAGGGTTGGTAAGGAATGAAAGCGAAGAGTTAATTAAAGTGTTTAACATCTTATTCCAAATATTCCACTAAGTCTTATGTTTACATTTTGAATTTAAATATAACAAATTAATTAATATATCCGAATATATATTAATAAAAGAGTAATAAAATATAAATGCAAGTGTTATATCAAATGAATTGTGTAAGGAAACACATTTTAAAGAGTAAAACATATTTTTTGTAGGTATTTGAAGATTCAATGATCTTAAGTGAAGTAACTATACATATTAGTATAATAATATAGCATAAAAACATGATGAATCCTAAGTATACCATTCAATTTAATTTTGAAACCAGAGTTATGTGGAAGCTTTCAGAACAAGAGGAACTCTCTTCATTTGGGATCTACTATTAGAATCGAATTAAGTGGTTTGATTCTGATCATAATTCTCTAAATTTACTCAAAATACACCTCTCTCCTAAAGTGTTTTTTGGAAACATTTCGATATTTTATGATTCTGGTTCTATTATTGGATCTGGAGCTTCATCAAAAGTTTATATCTTAACTTATTATTAGGTTTGCTTGGTTAAAGTAAAAAAGAGTATTCTTGAATACGCAGCTAAATGCATTTCTAAAAAGTACATCTTATAAAAGAAGTCATCCGATCGACTTGTATCATATTTCTAATGCAATATTAGAACAGATTATAATAAGAAATTTAAATCTTATAAAAGATAGACCACCCTCATTTTGTGAAGTTGCATGAAATCTACTAGGGCGAAAACTCCTATTATTTAGTGACTGATTATTTATAAGGAGATACATTATATAATTATATCAAGAGTTTTCCAGATGATTAAATACCATCTTAATAAATTAGAGAAGCTATAAAGGTTTTTATATCTATACATATATTTAATTTAGATTATATTAGCAGCCTTAAAATATTTGGAATCCTAAGATATCATTCATCGAGATATTAAATTGGAAAATATCTTATTATCAAAAACTAATGATATTACATCTTTAAAAATTATAGATTTTGGTCTAGCAATATATGCTAAACCACAATAAAAATTAAGCATTTGTGGAACTCCTGGATACATTGCTCCTGAAATACTAAAACATTCTAATAATGATGAATATTTCACACATAAATCTGATATTTTCAGTGCTGGAGTCATCTTCTATAAATTGTATTTTTTATTCATATTTTAGATTAACTAAAAAGACTTTGTTTAGAGCTTAAAATACACATGAAATTATGGAATAAAATAAATTGTGTTAAATCAATTTCTAAGATATTGAATACAAATTATAAAAGGAAGCCCTTAGTTTATTAAAATCTATGTTAGATCCTAATCCTCAAACTAGATTCTCAGCTATTCAATGTTTAGAACATTCATACTTTACTTGCAAACTTGAAAACATTAATATTTTATAAGAAATCTTAGATAAAGCTACTGGATTCTCAGGACTTTCATAAATTAGTATTATATCTTATAAAATTTCATAGAAGAATAAAAAGATACTCATTCTATTGGATAAGAATGTTAGGCTGCAATCATTAAAAGATGTAATCCTACTTCTTATAGAATAAGAACTGAATAAAGAAAAAGAACTAAAAGTCCTAGAAAATATGCTGAATTTTAATTATATTGTCCTTCTTTTTGCTAAATGAATTCCTTTGAAAGTTTAAGTAGTAAACGATCTTCATCATATTCCAATAAAGTCTCCAGAATAGAAAATCTAATTAATGATAAATTAGATTCAGTTATTGAAGAAGATGATAAAATTTAATCAAATTTTAAGTAAGTGTCTTCAAATTGAGTAAATTTACTAAATTAATGATGTTAATTAGATATATTCCCATTTATAATTAACATTCCATTAATACTTTATTATTAATTTAATTCATTATTATACAATTTTCAATCATCAATACATGAATGAAAATAATTTAGAAACGTAGCATTAATAAACTAGAAGTGCATAATCACAAGGAACATATCAAACTATTAAATCAGGTCATATTGAACTATAAATCAATACTAATAATCTAATAAATGAAGAAAGTTCATATTCTAAGGTTCCTCAAACTAGAAAATCAGAAAAACTATTTTGTTCAAAATGTAATATTGCTGTAGACTCTGATATTGCATATGAAATGGGTAAAGGAAGCTATGTAGCAATTGTTATTTTACTTGCTTTGATAATTACATCTTTTTTTGCTTTTATCCCTTGTTTGCTTAACAATTGCAAAGACGTGCAACATAGATGTTCCAAATGTACAAAACTATTAGGCACTAAATAGTTCTTGTTTGGATGATAATCTATTCATTTTTTCCTTTTTAAAAAATGACCTTTTTATATTAAATAAAAATTTTTAAAATTAGGTTCATATCATCATCAAAAAAGATAAGATAACTTTTTTTATATCTTAAAGATAATCTCTTCTTGGTTTTAAAATTTGAGTTTCATTAAATTTATAACAACAATAATAAAAATCACAAAAATAATTGAGATTTTGCAATATATCTATGAAACATTCCAGATTCTTTTAATTCTTATTTTTAAAATTCAATTCTTGTATCTAAATTTAATTTCCTACCCTCCTTTAATCCATTAGTATTTTATAAAAATTTAGTTTTTTTCCATTATTAAGACATTTATTAATATCTAGCAACTGGATCAGATCTTTTTGGTAAAGTATTAAATGACTTTTATTTATAATTATATTTTTTTTGCATTTATTAACTTTAATGAATACTTGTAGTATAGATAGGTTTATAAGATGAAGCAGTTGATGGTCTATTTTCAATCTTACTTGTGTTTTTTAATTAATTTGTTGTTTCTGTCAATACTTTAACATTATTTAAATTTGATTGAGATATTTTATTTTCAATTTAATTTCTTTGTGGTAATCTAAATTTTATTCCATTTTTTTATATTTAATGATGTTTTTCTTATTCTATATCATCTTTACTTTCATTTTCATCATCATTATCTTCATCAGCTTCATTTATATTTTATTTGTTATCAGCAAATTGTATCGCTTCAAATTCTTATTTATCATATTCTTAATATTCATCTTCTGGAATAGAGGAAATTTCTTCATCACTACTATAATTTTACATGGTAATTATATTACTAACAGTTAATAATTTAAATTTTAATATATAAAGAGAGAAATTAGTAAAATTTTATAATTAATTAATAAAAGATTGTATTGTTTGTAATGAATCTTAAAGATTTATTATAAATATGTATTTCTTTAATAAATGATTGTAAATGTTTAATTTGTAAGGGGGTAGTGTGATAAGAATATAAGAGTAGAGGATTAATTAGAGATAATTCAAAGGATTTTTTAAAATATAAAATCTTGTGTGAAAATGATAAGTATAATATAAGAAAGAGATGAGGTATAAAAAGAATGTTCAGATAAAATAGAGAATGAAAACTCAATATGCTATGATGAACCACATTATTCAGCAGATGATGAATAAGTATTATAATACATAATGTGATAGTAACATGAAGAATTCGAAGAGGATTAAGAATTTGCAGTATATACTCCTTAACAGTTCGCTTGTTTTAAGAAACCATGTCCAATATTTTAAGATGAATTTATATTAGATGAAGATCCAAAAAAGAAAGTATGTCTTGAAGAATGTACTACAACAGAGTAATCTGAGGATCATCCAGCATTAGGAGATTTAGAAATGTTAGCAGCTATGCTTTTAAAAGAAAATTAGAAGAAGTTCTCATATCCAAAGGATTTACCAGTTCCAACTAATGTCGAATAACATTTAGAAGAATTAAAAATGAGATTCAGTCCATCTTAAAAATAAGAAGATTTTATTTCTACATATGTTAAGGGTGATGATTTACTTAGAATCAAAGTAGGATTATGTGAAGAAATACTGAATGATGAAGAAACTTAAAAATTTGAAGATTGGGTTGAATAATTATGTACATCAACTAATCATGAATCATTAAAAGAGATGGCAAGAAAATAGAAAGTCAAAAGATATCTAGAAAAAAAACATAGTAGAACTTATGAAAAGAAAGTTCATTATCATATTAGATAAAAGGTTGCTGAAGAAAGACTTAGAGTTAAAGGAAGATTTGTAACTTGGACTTAAGTAATTTATTTATTCAATATTTTAGGCTTTAAAAATGTTAAATGAATAATAAGATTCTAAAAAGTCTTGGACATATAATGATTATTTTAAAATCAAAAATTTACTAAATGAAAAGTTTGGAGCAATCAAAAGTGAAAGGTCCTTAAAATTTTGATTTTAAACATAATCACTTTTGTATTTATAATAAATTATTATTAATTTATCTATTCATCATAATTCAATATGTTCATTCTCTTAATCAATATCATGATTATTCCAATTATTATTCTAATGAATCTCTACCATCTCTTCATCATATTTTATTTACTCTTTTTCTATCCTTTAATTATTACTATCTTATTATTGTGGAATAGTATTTTAGAAATTTAAAGTAGGTTTCAATTTTTCAAAAGGATTCTCTTATTCTATCAAATGCTAATTTAATTTCTATTTTTACATGATCTATATCCTAATCTTCTAAATCTCCATAGCCTGATTTCAATTATTATTATTTCAACTACTATTCATCCTTGTTTGCTTTTTAATATTAACTTTAAATCTATCCTGATTATTCTATTGGATCTTATTATAAAAATTAAAAGCAATGTCTAATAGACTATTAACAAAACTCATAAAGTAATGCTAATTTTCTTAATAACATTTTTTAAAATTAAATTTATAAAACAATATATATACATATACATTATCAAAATCATCAATAAAGTTAAACACTTTAATTCTATTATCGAACAAACTTATAAACTTATAATTGAACATCTTCTTTATTTTTTTATTTTTTAAATAATTTAGGCAGTTTTAAACTCTAAATTAAACATACTCTCGAATCAATATTTTAACTTGGTGTTTTTAAATGTATAACTTATTATTAATGTTATAATTATTATTATAAAATCTTTGCTTTCCTACTTTGTTGAATCTCAATAAGTGGACATTCAAAAGTAAGTTCTGATTTCTTTTCTTTCGAATGAGAAGATATAAATTCATAATAGTTTTAAATATTAGAAGGTTGATGTTATATTTTGCCTAGAATTTCTTAAACAACTTTTTAAGGTTTTCTTTCAGTATTTTTTTAAGAAGGATTCATTTTATGGGATGATTATCGATTTTATTATGTTAAATTAACTTAGACAAACTTTTCTTCTTCATCCTAAGTTTTTAAATAGCTTGGTGATTAAGTTAAAAAATCAAATCCACTTGAATGTTGATATGAATTCCCTAAAAAAATTTCTTTAGAAATCCTTTTGTTTTCATATAATTTATCAATCATCTTATTCAATTCTGATAAAGTTTATCCAGTGCAACAATATAATTTAAATCTCTAAATTAAATATTATATTTTTACATCTGCTGGTAAGAATAACATTTTAGATTTTTCAGTTAAACAAACAGCTTTAGATTATCTAAATTCTTAATTAGATACAATTTCCAAGTATCCAAATAATTATCCATATCCACATCTATTTAACTTTAATTGAATATTCTTTTAACCTTGAATAGAATTAATATAAAATACTATAAGATCTTTACAATCTTCTACTAAATTGTTAATCAATTTAAAATTCATTTTTTGCATTTTATGTGATTTCAATTTAACCTTCCAAAACAAAATATACACCTCTTTATATAAAATAATTGATTTATACTTAACAATTTCACCTTCTTTATAAATAAGAGTATCATAACAATATTCTAATGGTTATAGATGATATTGCATTTGACTTAATTCTGCATCATTCCAAGATTTAAAAATCTATATAGATTTTAAAAACTCAAAATTTTTCTATTAAATTCGATTGTAATATTCAGCTATTAATAATTGATTAATTTATTACATAAAAATTTGTTAAATGCTTCTCTTGATAATGTAATGAATTGTGAATTTTCTTTACAAACTATAGTGGCCTATCTTGGAATAAAGTTAGTAAGTGCAATTTCACCAAAACTACCACCTGCTCCTATTTATCCAACTTTCATTAAATTCGGATATTTTTAAACTAACATACTTTCTTCATCCAATTCTATAAATTCAAATTCATCCTAAATTCTCATAATCATTTTTACCTATAAAGTTCCTTCGTCTATATCAATTTTATCTTTGTTGTTCTCATCTTTTTTTTAGAATGTACCACTCTATAAACCTGATCTTGCAACCAACACCTAAAAATCGTTAAACGAATTAATACCCAAACTGAACCACTCAAAATTATATAGAAATTCTTTCCTATATCTCCTAAACGAAATAAAGTTCTTCTTGCAGGTACTTCTATATATTACAATTCCTTTATTAGTAATACTTATACTCTAAATAAATTTAACATTTCATCTTAACTGGTTGTCTTGCTCATTTCTTGAAAATATTTTATTGATGAAAATGCCATTGCTAATAATTATAAATCATTTCCATTTCTCTACTTTTTTGGTTTCTCCAAAACTCCAACAATTACCTTATGATTGATTTTAAAATACTTCAAAATGTTCTTTATCTTACAAATCCACATATTCTTTTGCTAGAATCTCTTTAACTTATTGTTAAAGTTGAAGTTACTATTTTATTTTTTCAATGTTTGATAATTAATGAGTCATTTTTATTTTTATTTTATTATAATATCCTTAATAATTATAAGAAAATTTATTTTAGCCAATAAATTATCTCCTCTTCTATGATATTATTCTTATTCTTTCTTTAGTAATCCATCTTGATATCCTCTTATAATATTTAATCAAACTAATATATAGAATATTTTAATATAAACATTATAAATAGAATTTAAAGTCCTTTTCATATTCCTTTTATAAATTTTTTTCTTCATAGAATTTATGCTATATTATTAATAATTATATATATAAATTCAAAATGATTTAATAGCAGAATCAAACATTCAAATACCCGTCAATAAACTATTTGAATCCAAATTCTTCATTTAGAAAATATGTAAAAGATGAAAATTTCACTTAATGTATAATTGAATGCAAAGTGGAAGATAATCAACGGTCATCTATTTCAACAGAAGGATCATATGACTATTCATAATCTTTAAAAATAAATAAAAAGGTTAAAATAACAAAAAACAAGGATAAATAATTACCATAAAAATCAGAAACCAAGAACATACCCAAAAATTTTGGAGTATTGTTAAAAAAATATTTATGTACTCTCATTAAACTTATTTTATTAGGTAGTAAAAATGTAGATAATTAGGCAATTAAAGCATTCTTAAAGAATGGGGAACACAAAAAGAATTTCTCTAGACAAGACTTTACTAGACTATTTAATGATCCACTTGCTGCAGACTTATCAAGAGAGTATTTCTCAGGATTTTAAATTATACATGATCTTATGATAAGTGAAAAAATATAGGATGTTAAAAATCATCTCAAATATATAAGTAAATTTTATAATTCCACTTATAATAAATAAGAGCTTGATGAACTTAAGTTATCATGAAATTATTTAAATTTTTTTGTTAGTTTATTAAATATCAAAAATTCTATTTTTAATTAAATATAATTAATATTCCTTTTATTTCATATTTTATTCTCCTCCACATCACAATCAATCTTAACTTAATTACTCCTTACTTTTCATTATTTTTCAAATTTGTACTATTTTATTTTAGAAATTATCAGAATTTTACATAGCCTCCATTCTTATATAAAATTTAATCAAATTAATTTATTCATATTATGGATTATCATTCTTTTAAATCAGCAAGATAAACTAAAAGAAATAATGATAATAATATCAAAAATAACATACTTAAATAAGCCAAAAAATTAGCTTTGACTTATTATACCCCTGATAATACTTTAAATAAATTAACCAATCCATTTGAATCTGTCCGAAAAGAAGAATTTAATTAATTAATAAAGGATTATATGCAATACTAATACATAAATATTTCAAATAGAAAATATACAATTAAGAGAAGTTGGACATATTAAAATGCGAAAATAATAATGGATTATGATTTTTCACTCAAATGATTTTTTTATTTAAATAGTTTATTTTGAACTTAAATAAAATAAATTAATTATTTCTAATATAATAAATACAACCATCATAATTCAATTTATTTCTCTTCTTCAATACTACTATAACCTCTTTTATATGAAGTATCAATTGTAACTTCTGGGGCATTAGAATCTTACTTTATTAAATCTATATTTAATTTTTTAATATAATATACTTGTAAACAAACGAATAGTTTATACTCCAAATAGCATTGCTACAATACAAATAATATAATAGACAATTTCACCAAACAAAGTTTTTTCTTGCTTTTAAATAGTTTTGGCACAATATTTATTAAATGAAAAAGAGGCTGTTTTATGAGAATCTTTCAAATAACTAAAAGTAATGTCAACATAGACTGTAGAATTACCTTGTTATAAACATTCAAAATATAATAAAATCTATTTTTTGTCATCAGCCCTATTCATTATTAAATTCTTTTGATGCTTAATTTTCAGAATATCGTTATCCTTTACATTAGTTACTATTACAATATTAATTTTTTGATTTTATGAAAAAAATCGGTCTTATAAAGTAGCACTTTATTCAGCTTTAAAATAAATAAACATTTAAAAAGCATTAGAATTTTCAGATATTGATTTAGTTGTATAATTATAATCTGTTTAAGGGATTCCAGCTCTAAACAATTCATTTGAATTTTTTTTAGTTCCTATAAACATTGGAAATTCTTAATTATTTTCCAAATCTTAATCTTTCTTATCACATTATTTATAAAATTATATAACAAATGGCTTTTCAAATTTCAATGAAAGAATTGTTAAATTGAATAAAACTATTATTTAAAAATTTAGTTTACTTAATTCATCAGAAACATCTTTACATATAATTTTAGGTTGAATATTTAATTTTTTACTGTTACTAACATATGATAAAGGAGGATCGGTGTAATTTTTTTTAATCAGATCTTTGGCACTTTAAGTATTGTTTTAATCTATTTCTAAATCAACTTTTTAAATATAGATGGTTTCTAGAATAATGAGTCGAATATTTTACAGTTTTCTGGGGGTATAAATTCAAAAATTGCTGTATTATTTTATAGAGTTTAAGGACTTCTATTATTCCATAATAATGAAATATTTTCATTATTTAAATCTTTTAAATAGACTTTATATTTATCAGTATCGAAGTATGTTTGATTGCATTGTTTTGTAAATGGAATTATTAAACTTTAATTAGAAGTTCCAAGTAATTCCAATTTTAATTAAAATTAGAGTACTATATCTTCATGACATTTGAAAATGATAAAGATCTATGCTGTTGTTAAATTAGATATTTCTTAAGGATGTATTTCATATAAGGATGTATTATTTTTATTTGATTCGTCCAATACAAATTTTAGATTCATAGGCTATTTCTAATTTTTATTATGAAACTATAAACTGAATATAAGTATTACTTCAAGTTGTAGAAATTCTTTTTATTCATCAACTAAGATTTCCTTTTTCCAATGCACTGTTCCATCAACTACAGCCTGAATTAGTAGCAGTTAAATTTACATGAATATTCTTGCAATCTGATTTACATAATACGATTAAATTTTCAAAGGTCTGGCTTTTAACAAGTAAGAATGTAAAAAATAATGAAAACAATGATTTTAGCATATATTTAATAATTTAGAATAAAAAAGCTAAAGAAATTGTTATAATATCGTAACTTTAACTACACATATTATAACATAAAAACCATCTTAAAAATTTGATTTTGTTGTTTTACATCATTTAATCTTTATAATTTATAGGAATTAAAATAATTACTGTTTTAATGAAGCAGAATAAGGTTAATAAAATAGATTTAGAACTTCAGTAGAAAATTTAAATCAATGAATCAAATGTAAATTTATCATGGGTTTTAAAATTTCCAAATTGTCATGAATTATAATCATCAATTTTATAGATGGCTTTTATAGACCTTAATATTGAAATATAAAATTACGATAGATAGGGAGCATGTCATATAATTGTAAGTAATTAAATTTAATACCCTTTTATATAAATTGTTGAAGGCATGCTTATATATTAAAAATAGAAATATTTATTTTTGAGTGATTGCATTGTTGAAAAAAAAAAATTTATCTGTCATTAAAGTTAACTATTTTTAATTAAAATCTCTAATAATCAAGGTCGATTAATTTTTATATTTGCTCATCCAATATCCTAAAAAGAATGGTTTAAGATACTAAAATTATCAGCCAAATAAAATAACTTTGCTTAAAAATATCGAATAAATGAAATTCTAATGGCTAATATATTTTCTGTTTTTGAAAGAAGAAAGAATAAAAAATTAGTAGCATAAATAATAAAGAAAAAAGATATAAAATAATAAGAATAATATGAAATTATCAATAATTATATTAAAATTCTAAGAAGTGGCAAAATTATGAACTATTATCCAGTATTAAGTATTTTTGATGATATTGAAAGTATTTCAATAATTACTTATTAATTCTATGGAACAACTTTAGAATCACTACTATTGAGTACTTAATAAGCAGTTCCATAATCAGATTTAGCATTCATTTTTTATTCTGTTTTGTAATCTTTAAGAAGTCTATAAGATGAAGAGTTATTTCACGGATATCTTTGTTTAGAGAATATTATAATGGCAAATGTATTGGGATCATTGTAGGTTTACTTAATAAACTCAAACTATAAAGTAAATTAATGAAACTATTTAATAGCCCTATAATGAAAATAATTTAGATTTTTATTTAAATTCAATTCCGAATTATTTATTAGCTCCAGAACTTCAATCTTTTTAGGATTTACCATCAGTTAAATCAGATATGTATTAATTAGGAATGGTTTTTTTTTTGATTAGCTTTTATTCAAAAGGGTAGATTTTTAACAGACAATATATAACTAAAATGTCTTAGAGTAAAAGAGAACTTATCAAATAATAAGAAAATAACTTTTAAAAATGTCGAGATTCAGATTTTCCAAATTTATATAGTGCATGTTAATTGGATCTTATTAAAAAGATGATTGATAATGATCCTGAAAGAAGAATATCTGTAAATGATGCTATTAAACATGCATGGTTTATAAATACAAAGGATAAATTAAAATCTAAAAAGATATAATCAATGAATCGCAATCTACCTAGTTTAAGAACAATTATAGAAATGGTTGAATAAAGTGAATAAGATATTCGAAGAAAATCATTTTAACTTAGTAATGTTTAGTATAGCAAAAAGATACTAGAATGTGCTACCTCTATTTAGCAATTAGATTTTAATACTTTACAATAATAATAAGAAGCAAGTCCTATAGTTAAATCCTTGGAAAGCCAAAATGAAAATATAGATGAAGAACATGAAATAAGTAATTTAATATACAAACTTAATAATAAACAATATTTTATGATGCCCTCTTTATTAGGCCACTTAATTTAAGATAAAAATTAATACAGACTAGTTTAACCTAAGAATCATTTGCCTTCATTTTAAGACTGATTAGTAATATATATTTGTTTTTCTTATAACCATTATTAAAACATTTAAATATGACATTATGTAAACAAGAATTGATAAATTAAATAAATTATAAAATTTACATATGATTAATACGGGGGTGCTTATTGAAGTTTTTCATAATATAAAAAGTTATGATTGCTTATTATCACAAACCTTTATATAAATATTTATAACCTATTGAGATGCAGGGAATACTATAGGAATCATTTAATCCTACATCTTCTTCTCACATCTCAAATGACTATATAAAATAAAGTGATACATTAGAAACATTTAGTAATTCAGCATTAAACAATTACTAAGAATGCAATTCTACTCCTAAAGTAAAAATTATATCAATACATAGGCTAAAAAATTATAAACTATTCCTATGAAAAAGAAAATCAATAAAGAATTAGAATTAAATAATAAACATAATAGTGGTCATTGGACGCCAGATGAACATTAAACCTATGTGGAATTTCTAGAAAAACATCACACTTCAACCATGTAAAATCAATAAAATAGAAAGAACAATAAAATCTTTAAATTAATGTCTGAAATTATTGGAACACGTTCACCTTCTTAATGTAGGTACAATAATTCTAATTATAAAACAATAGATCTCATCATTAAAAATTTAATCCATATACCCCTGCGGGTTAGAAAAGAATTAAGAAAAACAAAAAAAAATTTAGTATGAATTAATAAATTATAATATTAGATACTGAAACTTAAATAAAATTATGTAACACTAACTAAGTTTTGCAGTATTTTACTCCAGACCTAAGACCTAATATAGGTTTTTATAAAATTTATAATAGAACTTCTTCCAAGCATTTAAGATTTAGATGAATAGCAAGAATACATTTGTGAGGAATCCCAAAGACTCAGAATTCGAAGATATTCACTTGATAATCTTGAAGATAGTTACAATTTCAATCAGCCTCGTAAAAATTAATTTTTTAACGAGTAATGTTATGATTGATAATACCAAAAGTTTTATTTATTATAACAATAATTATATTTTAATAAAGAATTTAAAGTTTATATTGATATAAATATACATACAAAAGATCATTAATATAAGATAGGATGAAAAGATTACATTTTGAAAAAATCAATAAAAAAGTCTCTAAAAAATTATAATAAATAGTTCAAATTTGGAATATTTTTGAAGAATCTAATATTAAATTGCTAAAGTCTTTTTATAATGAATTAAAAGATCTATTTATAGGATACTGGAAAAATAAGTATAGAGAGATTATAATAAAGGAAAAAGATATATAAAAGAAGAATCTATGTTAATAAATTGTTCTGATTTATGATTTATATAATCAGTTTAAACTATTATTTGATTTGTCTATTTATTCTTTATTTATTGTTTCATACAAATTTATGGCAGAACATAAATTAATTGATGGATATGTCGTGACCAATAAATTACTCGGAACAGTATAATTATTGTAATTATATAAAGGGAGCTTTTGGATCAGTTTACAGAGGTTATAAGGAAAGTGATCCTAAATTGATTGTAGCTGTTAAAATGTTACCTATGACTGAAGGCACAAATAAAAATTTCTTGAAAAACATTAAGAGAGAAATAGATATTTTGTCAAAAATTAGAAGCTAATATATTGTGCAGTAAATCTATTAATAATTTATAGATTATTTCATGCAGCTAGAACTTAAAAAAATTATTATATTTTTTTAGAATATTGTAATGGTGGTGATCTTAAAGATTTAATAAAATCTAAAGGAGGCTCTCTTTCTGAGTAAGATGCAGTCACTTACTTTAAACAAATAATATATGGATTTAAAGCCATTTATTAAGAAAATGTAATACATAGAGATATTAAACCAGCCAACATTTTATTACATAATGGTATTAAATAATTATAAAAAAGGTATTGCTAAAATTAGTGATTTTGGATTTGCAAGAGTTGTTGATGACATGGAAGGCTAAGAGAAGTTTACGTTATTAGGTACTCCTCTTTATATGGCTCCATAAATATTAGAATTAGGCAAATTTAACTCAAAGTGTGATATTTGGTCTATTGGCATTATGTTTTATGAAATGCTTTACGGTCATCCTCCTTGGACAGCTACTAACTAATTAGCATTATTAGATTAAATTAAAAAAAAACCTTTGACTTTTCCAAATTAACCAAAAAGATAATAAATAGTCAAAGATCTCATTTCTAAAATGTTAGTTATTGACGAAGAGTAAAGAATTAATTGGTATGATTTGTTTGAAAATGAATTAATTAAATGCAATAGTTAAGAACTTAAAAATAAACTCAATCTTATTATTGATAGTGTTTAAGATACTTTAGAATAATCCTCATAACTTAATAGATTTTATATTGATAATAATCTTATTCTTGCTTAAGGAAAAAATCAAGAAACCTAAGTATTATTTGAAGTTAAAAATGATGAAGATAACACAATGGTTATAGAATAAAAAGATGCCATCTAACAAAATTTAGAAGATCTGAAAGGATTAACTTATAATGATATCATTGAAGCTTAAACTAAAAGATTGTAAGAACAAATGACAATCAATAAAATTGATGCTCATCTTTCATTAAATAGAAATATTGGCATTTTTGTTAATCTTACTACGAATAATGTATTTTAATTATTCAAAGAATAACATCTAAGTATACCAACTCATTTTTTTTACAGGATTATGTTTATACTCTAAAAATCATAAATGATTATTTTCGATGATTTAATTAATATTATGGCTAGTAAAGTAATTTTAATTAATTATTTTAGACCCCTATTGGCAATGGATTTTCAGATCTAGATTGGAAACTCTATAAAAAAAATTTACAGTATTTTTCAACTTTAAAAGCTATCAAAACAGATAAATTTTATCTTAAATCATATTATGAAGAAATAACCAAAAGAACATATAATTTCCTAACTAATTAAGTGCAATAAGAAAAAATAGATGGGTAAGATAAACTTGATGTCATAGAGTTCCTTTCAATCATGTAAAATAACTAATAATCGGACTTAAATTTTAATAAGATATATGATAAAACTCTTAAATATTGTATCAAACAAATGTATGAATAAGTCTGCCAATAAAAAAAAATAACAGGAAATAGATTATTTTTATAAACATTAAAATACTTATACCTTTGCTTAAATCCATTTACATACTTTAGATAAACAAAAGAATTTCCAGATTTTAGCAAGTTTTATGAACATTATGACAACTTAGATATGGAAATATTTTTGTAGCAGATTCATGATAATTTTAAATTGTTTTGAAATAATAAGATAAATATATTTAAATAAA